CAGAGTGTGAACAGACTGGACTGGAGGTGAGTGTTTAATGAAGTCAGCATCATCAGAGCTGATGTGATCATATGTTCAGGTGCTGCATGTTCATTTTTAAATGAGGGAGTGAATTTTGTAGAGCAGATCGGGTTTTAACCTCGATATTTAAAACTGTTGTGTAAATTTGTGGACTCAGTGTTATTCTCTGCTGGAATAAACACTCTGGCTCAGTGTCTGTTATTTTACATGTGCTGGATACGTAAGGAACAGTGACTTCACTCTAACTGTGGTTGTTCTGCGTTTAGACCAACACGGCTACGTCGACGCTCAACAGCGTTTTGACTGAAACTCAACACGAACCAAAAGGCCTTTGAACTTACATTCTTCAGGAATTGGCTTCAGCTGCTGGTGCATTTGTTTACATGTTTGCAGTGCAGCTCTGACCTCAATCTGCTGCTCACATGTCCGATATAGATCACATAGGAGGCGGCAGTCCAACATCAGAGTCATAGTTTCACCTAAAGCTGTGTTCAGAGGGCTGTAATTCCTCCTGATAAAGCTTTCAGGCGGTGAACTGTCTTCTTGTTGTGTTGGAGAGCAACAAATACAACCTAAACAACGGTAGAAAACACACACGTGAGCTTTGTAAGCACTTGCGTATGATCACACGTGCATTCAGCCTTCACGTCCTCTTTAAACTTATCGAGAGTTCAGCAGTTGGATCTGCAGACAGCCGCTCTGAACAACTGAAGCTCCGGTTGCCATGGCGACGGGGAGACTAGGTCCCAGTTGTGCAACGTCTGAGTCGACACAATCTCAGAGGGGTTTCATCCCTGGATGTCTGCCCGCCTCGCGCGAACACACAAACACACCGAGCCGCTCCGTCTCTGACCCACATGAGCTTCACATGGACAGAGACCGGCCTGAACCCGAGACGGGTTCCTCTCACATCTTGTCTACGGGCAGCGACATGAACACAGTGTTTTCCAGCTCAGACCCACCTGTGCAGATGGGCTCGTCGCCGCTCCACTGCCGGTCGCCCTGACAACGGCGGATGGTGGCGTCCAGGCCGCTGGGCAGCATGAATCCCGGCTTGCAGCGAACCTCCAGCAGGGCGGAGAAGGAGTGAGTGGGGGAGAGGAGGCGAGCGTCGGAGGTCTCGCTCTGGGGAAGAGGCCACGGACACGTCCGACCTGAGGAGACGGAACAACAGTCAGGAGACAGAACGGTTCTCACAATGAGCTGGATTGTTCAAAGAGCTCTAATGAGGTTGTGTAACTGGACCGGCTCCTGTTAAACCGGATGTTGACCTAAAGCCCAGTTTGGAGGAGAACAAGCCTCAGACTGCTGCTTTATTACAATAACCAGACTGTGATATGTGGTGAAATGTCCCAGGACTGGCTGTTTTCATATCCTCCCTATCAGACCTTCAGACAGTCTAAAGCTCAGGAACTACTTGGACAGCAACATTCTGAAAAACAAACCAAGACTCTATAAAAACCTGCCAACAGAGCCAAGAGGTTCCAGCACCAAAACAATTCCACAGCATCCTGGGCTAAGCCTTACCCAAGATGGTGTAACTGGTTTAACGAAGCTGAGCGTCTTGCCCTGTTATAATACTGAGGTACAGTCAGATCATTCTGTGCTGCAGCTATGCAAGACTAGAAGAACCGCTGAAGCTTTAGATCAGGGGTGTCAAACTGCGGTCCTCGACGGCCGCAATCCTGCATGTTTTAGATGTTTCCTTCTTCCAACACACCTGATTCAAATGATCAGCTCATCATCAAGCTCTGCAGAAGTCTGATAACGATCCTGATCATTTGANACCTGATTCAAATGATCAGCTCATCATCAAGCTCTGCAGAAGTCTGATAACGATCCTGATCATTTGAATCAGGTGTGTTGGAAGAAGGGAAACATCTAAAACATGCAGGATTGCGGCCCTCGAGGACCGGATGTCGACACCCCTGCTTTAGATCTTCAGGTAAATGCTCAGAGGGAGCATCGAGACAACAGTGCTGATGTTTACTGCCACACTAAAACTCTCCTGATCTGCCAAAACCCGGGATCGAACCAGGGACCTTTAGATCTTCAGTCTAACGCTCTCCCAGCTGAGCTATTTCGGCACAAAAACAGCCTAGTACGGAGGCCAACAAGAGCAGAAAGCAAAAAAGTGCACGCTTTTTAAAGGACAGATCACAATATAAATCTGCCGATATCTGTCCAAACCTGTTTAAAGAGAAACAAGAAGGTCAGATGGTATCCTACAAATGACAAGACCAGAAGAGCCATTGAAGGTTTAGATCTTCAGGTTCATCCTCAGATAGAGCATCAAGACAACAGTTTTCTACCACAGCCTTGTGATCCTAAAACTGTTCCAAGCTGCCGAAACCCGGGATCGAACCAGGGACCTTTAGATCTTCAGTCTAACGCTCTCCCAGCTGAGCTATTTCGGCATGAAAATCAGCAAGTACAGAGGCCAACAGGTGCAAAAATCTGCAAGCTTTTTTTTAAAGGACAAATCACAATATAAACCTGCCGAAATCTTTCCAAATATTGACAATAAGCTGGATTGTTAAAAAAGCACTAATGACGTAAAGAGAAATGTTCCACTAAAACAAATCTATCACATTCTGCAGGGACACCATCACTGCATCCTGGGCTTAGCGCTAACCAAGATGATTGTAATTGGTTTAAAGAAATACAAAGAAGTCAGTGTTTTTTCCGGAGCATAATGAGATGCAGTCAATCAGTTTTAGCTATGACAGACTAGAAGAACCATTGAAGCTTTAGGTCTTTGGGTTAATGCTCAGATGTGGCATCGAGACAAAGGTGTTCATGTTTTCTACCACAGTTTGAGACACGAAAACTCTCCTGAGCTGCCGAAACCCGGGATCGAACCAGGGACCTTTAGATCTTCAGTCTAACGCTCTCCCAGCTGAGCTATTTCGGCATGAAAATCAGCAAGTATGGAGGCCAACAAGTGCAAAACACAGCAATATTTTAAAAGCCAAATTATAAATTCAACGTAAAACTGCCAAAAGATGCTAGCATCCAGGACTCCTTGAAAGCAGGTAGTCAGAGCCATGTTGCTCTACCCTGACTGCCCGAATGTAGACTGCAGGCATAACATACCACAACGCTGCATCCTGGGCTGGCCCTGTGTAAACTGACTGTCACAAGTTACACGTGTAAAACTTTTCTAAGGTGTAGGTAATACTGAGGTGCAGTCAGACCATTCTAAGATGCAGCTATGCAAGACTAGGACACAACCATTAAAGGTTTATATCTTCAGGCTAATGCTCAGATGGAGCATCGAAACAACAGCATTCATGTTTACTGCCACACTTTCAGACCCTAAAACTCTTCTGAGCTGCCGAAACCCGGGATCGAACCAGGGACCTTTAGATCTTCAGTCTAACGCTCTCCCAACTGAGCTATTTCGGCCTGGAACTATGCAAGTATGGAGGCCAAATGGTGCAAACGACAGCAAGTTTTTTTGCAAACGTGCCAAAGAGCTTAGAGCTGCTGCTAGTTGAGGATTTGAATTGTGCGGTAAGACAGTTGTTTTGGTGAATTATCCATTTCAATAACAGTTCCTTCCTTTCTGCATGTAAATGTTCCACCAAAACAATTCGCTTACTGCCGGGGCACCATCACTGCATCCTTGGCTTAGCTCCACCCATGATGATTGTGATTGGTTTAAAGAAATTAGAAGAGTTTTCACCTGCAGCAGAGTGACAATGAGGTGCAGTCAGACCATTGTTTGCTGCAGACTATTGCTGTACAGACAGAAGACCTGCTGGAAGTCACTGGATAGACCTCTGACCTTCAGTCTCCTGCTGGTTGATGGGTTAGGGTCAGCTTTGTCATCACAACTCATTTTGTGTCCCAAAGACACTTGGCAGCTGTTCCTTAAACTCTTCCCAGCTGCTCAATTTGTGCATTTACAGAGGCCAAGAGGTGTCAAAAAAAAGCATTTTAAAAATCTACAGATTCCAACAAGGTGGATTCTGAGGACAGATTTTTTTTAAGGCTTTTTTTAAATGTTATTTTCCAGGAAGAAAGGCACAGATGCATGTTGGCACAGCTGCACACACAAACACTTTTAATGACTAACAAAGTGTTACCTGGAGCCACACAGCTGAGACCACACTGGCCGTCGCACAGACACTGACGCTTGCTGCCGCAGTCTTGGTCATCTTTGCAGGGCCGAGGACACGTCCGCCTCCTCTCGTCGCCCAGGAGTCTCTCCGGACACGACCCTGCAGGGACACCACACACAGACACTGTCACTTTGTTTGCTGCGTTCACGGCCGAGTGTAAAAAAACAGAACAAAAAAACAACAAGGGGGCTGAGGAGGCTTTGTTTGCCAAATTCTGCTTTGTTTTCTGTTGGAAGGAGAGTAAAGTCAGCTGGGTGGCCGGGCAAACGTTTGCCACCCAGGTTGCCAGATGAGCAAGCTTCACTCCTTCTCATTGAGAAGTGAGAACGCAGAGGAGCAACCCGCCCTCATTTCCCTCCATATGTATCCCATCATAAAGCTAAAATCCTCCACTTACGCTAAGTTTTGCGCCGACACACCCACCGAGCGCTGGAGAGGGGAGGAAACGGGGGAGACTGTGTTCCCCATTTTTCAATTCTCAGACTGAAAACATGTGTGCTACTGTATCCTCGCTACGTGCAACACGTGTGACCACAAACACGCATGTGCTCCTGCACACAGCGTGGACAGAGACACGGTGTACGGTACATACATGTCGCGCAGATACAGATCATTTAGGTTCTATGTGCAGCTTTGCAGGGAATTAAACTTAGTTTTGTAAACGAGGTGGAACATTTTAGGTTCTAATCCTTTATATTTAAGTTGAGTTAGTTTGTATTTTAGAGTAAAAATGTAGGATTTTAACCTTAATATTTAAACTTGTTGGGTAAATTCATGAAGTTAATCTCACTTCTTTGCTGTAAAACACTTTGGCTCAACATCAGTTATTCTAAATGTGCTCCACATATAAAAAGCAGCGTCTTCACTATTGTTTAGATCAACTTATTATATTTCAGCAGATAAATACATCGAAGAAAGAGCAGCACTTTGGTTGCATTTCAAAATGCATGAAACTTACATCTTTTAGGATTTTACGTCATTATTTAAGTTAATATTTGAGTAAACATTACAGAAGAGTATTTAAAATTAATTTACAGTGACCAAAAAAAAGGGATTTAAAAGTTAAAGCACAAAGAAATGTTAAAATCAAATTTAAATAACAGTGACAAAAACTTGGACTGAAGAGTTGAAGCAAACTTACAGAGACGGTATTAACTTGCATCCACATATTAGTGATAAATGTGATGATCTAGTTTAGGATGAAACTCATCTAAAACACATCCTCTGTACCGGTGCTAATAAATGCATGAGTCTGATGACTTTCTGGCGACAAACAGTTCATCCTCCAGAGCAGCAAAGCATGCATGCAGTCAGTAAGTGGTCAGTTCTCATCCATGCCCAGTGTTTGCTTGAGCTTCCTGTGCGTGCAGGTGTGAAGCCTCCAGGTGTGAGTGATGCAGGACGTACCTGAAGCCTGCTGGGACACGGTTCCGGTCAGAGCCCAGAGCGACAGCAGCAGCAGCAGCGGTGCACGGTCCATCCTCGCAGTCGGGCCTGGGACGGTATGAGCGGCGGATCGGCAGACGCAGCGTTTTTAAGGGGGAACAAAGGGTGGGAGAGAGGGTGGGAGAGAGGGGGGAGAGGGTCCAGCCCAGGAGCAAACATCTGGTTCGCGTTGAGGAGGAAAGAAGTGAGGAAAATTCCAGTCTGAAGGACCTTTCACCCATTTCTGTTGAGACAGCAGATGAAGGGGATGTCATGTACGCGACTGCTGCTCACAACAAACAGGATCCAACGAACAAACTGAAGGACTTCACCTGATTGTTTGAAATGCAAATTCTGCACGATTCCTTAATTGAAGCTTGTGTTTCGTCAACACGCCTCTGATCCGTCCGTGTACATTTAATTAGCGAGAGAAGCAGCGCCGCCATCGTTGGGCAAGAACGCATATTTGAACTGCTTTGCCTATTAGAGGAATGTACACAATGTGCACAAACAGGGAGGATTAGAAAAAAGAAAAGAAAAAAAAACAGCGAGTCTGGGAACATTTCACCACAAATCAGTCTGGTGATAAACGAAGCCTGAAACCCGACCTCTGAGGCCGGTTCTCCTGCAAACCGGCCTTCAAACCAAACATCAAGATGCAGAAAAACACCTGCGGCACTGGTGAATGAGAACAATCTTTTTATTGGTGTTTTTTGGGAAATTTTCAACTACATCCAAAGAACCAGCACTGACTGGTGGGCTGGGCACCACGGACACTACTGATGCAGCAGTTAGAGTCACTATAGAAGATTCATCAGCCACATCTGTGAGGGTAATCGGAGACTTGGGTCCAGTTTGGGAGAGCAAACAATCACTGAATGAGGTGACGAAGGCTGAAAGAAACCGACAGGGAGCATTATCGAGTCGTGTGCATAGTCCGTCCACAGCCGGGAAACGAGAGGAGGTGAAAGGAGTCTGCACGGAGCTACACGGAGCCACGCTCGGTGGAGTCCACGGCGGGACGGTGGCTGCTGCAGGATGCCAAGTAGAAGAGACGGAGGGTGTTTTTCCATTTGAATAAGTCTTTCTGAGGAACACTGAAGATGTTTTCAAGGTGCAACAGATCATCCAAAGAAAGAAAAACATTCAATAATATAGAAAGAACAACAATAAGAGGGATAATCATCATAATCAGAACAATAATAATAGCTGTAATGGTAACTATTCATCATGGTCATTAAAGGGGATTAAAGTCACACTCTAGTACTAGTCATCCCTCCCCAGGAACATAACATAGTGTACCATGGCCCTGTGTATGTAGACACGTTTAAAGATACAGTATAAAGTACAGTGAGGAAGGAGCAGCACTGAAAGAAGCACTACGTAGCAACAAGCTCTGTGGATCAACATTTGGAAATTTTGGCTTTTATTTCTCCCAGAAAACTGAGAAATTAACACAGTTCCACTCAATGGGGACCCATCTCCTGGAAACACATCGAATAGCAGATACACACAGCACGTCTGCCCCCGGAGTTAAATCAGAAAGTGTTTATAGAGTACAGTAAAGTAACGTTGTGCATTCTTTTTTTGTTTTTTTTTTAACTGCGAAAAACCGGTTGGTTCGGGGATACGAGCCGCTCCGAGCCGCGGGACCGAAAGTTATGGGAAGAGTTTTACACAGAAATAGAGGCGAAGGAGGCGTCGGTAAAATACACCAGAAAAACACTCCACTGGGACAGAAGAGAACGGATCAGAGGGTCTCGGGAGGAGCTAACGTCGCCGAGACCGTAAAAAAGGATGAAGTTGTTCTATTAAAAAAACAAAACACACAAGACGAGTGCTGAGGCGTCTCCTCGAGTTTCCCAGTGACAGAAACATGACAGAAAAAAAAAACAAAAAAAATAAGTGCTCGAGTAAAATCCACAAAATGTTGAACTATACGATTTTAAGATAATTTCGCTCTCTATATTACAATTGTTACATGCGACCCCGCTGCTGCTGTTCCGACTAGAATAATCACAAATCCCCACCGATGGCTGCCGACCTCTCAAACGCCTCCTCGCTCGTCTATAATAAAAAGATATTCACCGTAGCTTTCCCCCATCTGTAGAAAATATACAAAATTATTCTCCAAATTTGCTCTCCCGCTAATTTTTCTGAAGTATTATAAAAATATACAATTCTCCAATAACAAAACTCTTAAAAGTCACATCTGTTAAATTATTCTCTCCATCCATCACTTTTAAGAGCTCGACAAAACAAGACACCTGAGCTTCGATACCTCCTCGTCCTATACATTCATCATCATCTTCCTCATCATCATTATCATCATCATCATCATCATCATCAACATCATCATCATCATCATCATCATCGTGTCCATCATCTGCCACCAAAGAAATTCAGAGTCTCAGATTTAATCCAGCTTATGTTCCTCCTCTTCCCGACCGGCCTCCTCGCCGGTATCACTGGTCGGCGAGGCGGTTCTCGTATTTGCTAAGGATGTTGCGGCACCGGCCCAGTTCCTTCCTCATCTCGGCCACTTCCTGTCGCAGGGCGGCGTTCTCCCGCTCCAGGTAGGCGGCGCGAACCGAGATCTGGTTCTCCTTGAGGCGGCGGGCGTCTCGGGAGCGCTTGGCGGCTTCGTTGTTCTTGTACCGCCTGGTCCAGTACTTCTCATCCTGAGAAAACAGGTTCAGAAAACAACATTATCATCAGAATAAAAAAAAACGCCGACAGAAGAATCGATGGAGGCTCCGACTGGTTTCCTCAGAAGCGTGTGAAGCTCTGAGGAGGTCGAGCTGCTGCCCTGATCTCACACATGTGGGAGTTTGTCTGAGAGCAAAGCTACAAATGATGCTTTGGCTTTTGTGTTTAATGCAAAATATCTCGTGTGCCTCCATTTATGACACCTTTAAACACGATTAAGTCAAAAACTCAAGTGAAATCTGGGAAAAAAAAGTTCTCTGTTTTGCAGCTTTTGCTTTTATTTCACAATCTTTCCTTTGCAGCATTTTCTAGATCTGCATCAGGTGTCGACTGTTCAATTAAAACAGTCCAAATTCTGTGATTTCAGCGTCTTAAATGTGAAAACTTTCTGGATTCTTTCCTCCTCTCTGACAGTAAACTGAATATTTGGACATTTGAGGAAACACTGATCCACATCTTTCACCGTTTTCTGGCGTTTTGTCATGAAATCGACAAATTTCCTCGTAAACATGAGTCCAGTTTGTTCCCATTTCTGCTCTTGTGTTAATAATTTGTGTTCTCGGTTGGTTTTCTTTCCCTCAGACTGGACTCACAGCTGAAACAATGAGCTGATTAGTCATCTAACAGGACAAACACTTACAGTTATTATTAGTCAGAAGCGTGCTGCTTTATTCTCAGTTGTAGAATTAAATATATTTGGGCCAAAGTGGCAGCGAGCGCTAGAATTTTGTGCTTTTTGACTTTTTTTTTCTGGCTTCTGGAGGCAAAACTGTTCAACAACTAATTGAAATTAAAAATAAATGAGTTTATTTTGTTGTATTAATGATATTTGCCTTCAAGCTTCCTAATCAAGGCCTCAGAGTACATCCCCCCTCACAGCACCTTATTCTGATCACCTGTCCGACTCTTATTTTAAACACGTCGCCACAGTTTTATTCATGAAAGTATAAAAGCAGCGTGCCTTCACCTTCATGTTGTCCGGCACCAGGATCTTTCGGGCCTTCTTGATCATCGGCTGCGGCTTCAGCTCCTCTTCGCTGAACGAATGCCTCCTGGGGTCGAAGTTCTGCTGCCCCGAGCCGTCGGACATCCCCACGTCCGAGGAGTCCATGTCGAAGATGCCGACGCCGTCCGGGCCGCTGCCGGTGGGCGTGAGCAGTGGCGGACAGGAGGACGAGGACGAGGAGGAGGGCGACTCGCAGGAGTCGTTCATACTCGTCTGGCTCCCTGGAATCAGAGAGAGAAATCTGCATTACACGCCGCTCAGCCGGCCGCATTCATCCTCCAGCCTGCGATTCAGGCGGCTGACAGCAGAGCACGACGACACAAACAGGTGCAGCGTCCGGCGGCAGCCAGCAGGTGGCGGCAGAGAGCTGCGGCCTCGAAGGTAAACAACAAACAACATTCCTGCTTTGACTGATTCTCAGAACTGAGGATGTTTTCCAGGCGCAGATTTTCACCTTCCAGGCGGCATTTAAGCGCCAAATACAACAAATTGCAGTTCTCTGGTGTAACGGCTGAACGTTCAGCAAACACATGCAGCCATCTAAAGACTCCCTGATCCTTCTGACTCGTTCTACACCTGTCCTGGTCAAACGCTGCACGAGTTGAATCATAACCTCCTGGAGAAACCACATGGAATCTGTCAGCTCGATCGCTTCGTGATATTTGTGACTTTCGAGAAGGAAACTGCAGAGAAATTCCTGTGGATCTGCGCCAACTTCCAGAACTACTGCCGATAGAAGAATCTAAAAGTGGAAATGTTATGTAACCGTCTTCCCCTCCCCTCAAAACCAGTTTCTTTAAGTGGGGCCAGTATAGGGCTATACCTCCCCCCGGCCCCCGGCAGGCCCGGAGCACCTTCCTCCACCACCAAACTCCCTTCACGTCTCTGCACACAAACGGCTCGAGCTGATTATCGATCAGAAAATCAGAAATAACAGCAAAGAGACACGACCGAAACTCCCGTGCAGTGACGCATGCTGGGATTAACGCAGCGACACAACGGCTCTGACACACGCTGAACGCAGCCTCTGAAGCTGCACAATGCTGGTGTTTAATGCAGACGTAATGACAGCTAAAGCGGCGTAAAGGGCATAAAAACTAGTTCTGGCAGCGTCAGAATCAAACCAGTGACACCTGCTGACCGTGTCATGAGTAGATCTGGAATGTAAGAGAAGCTGTGACGGAAATAAACCGTCCCACAATCACAAGTCCTCGTATCAGACTAAAATAAAGGCGCTCTTTCTTAATTACTGCTCATGCATCTGATCCTGAAGGAAACTGCTTCAACCAGCACGTTTGTCTTTTTCTGCTTTCTGGACCCAAAACTTTTAAGTAGATTTGGTTCATTTGGTTGTTTAAGCCTTTAAATAACAGATAAAACGTTTGGAGCTGAATAAACAGGACGTCTCAGCTTGTTTACACCACATAGGATGAAGATTTTTACATCCTCAGGAGAATAATTTGCACATTTCTGCACACTTTAAATATTCCTGTTACGTTTTAGGATCTAAAATTGCATATTTTTGCTCCACTTGCTGATTTCTTTTCCAAATCTTTCTTTAAAAATCTCTTCTCATCAGATTTTACTGTGTTGCAGGTGAAGCCCTACTTTGGTTCACCTGCTGCTGACTATTTTCTGACTTGTGTTTTACTCTAGAAGTCCAACACTCCTTATTTTTGCTTCACTAGAACACCTGATTTCTTTGTCGTATCTTCTTTTCATCAGTATTTGCTGAATTGCAAACTGGGAAACCCTATCGATGCACACGGGATGTAATAATGGTGGATCTGATTTTTTTTACTATTTTCAGGACTTCTGCAGGTAAAATGCTGATCTGATTGAAAACAGCAATAAAGTCCATCTTTAACATCGTATCAGTGATATCTGCCTTCAAACTAAGACCTGTGCATATTTTCTGAGCTCTTTGTGACGGAGAATCGCTCATTTTCGCTCCACTTGCTGCTCATTTCTCTTAAGTTCTTCCTTCTCGTTACTGCACTGAATCGAATTCCTCGCATGTGAAAACCCACTGAGCGCGTGCAGCTCCCAGTGGGCTGATAATCATGTGTTGCTGCCTCATTTAAAATTAACGAAGCAGCTGTCGGTCGGCGGCAGTCTGCAGTTTGTGCAAAACATTCACCTGAAGTCGCCTCAGAGAGTTTCCACATTCTCTGATTCACTTTAAATGCATTTTATCGATAATTTGGTGAACTTTGCCGCTCCGGGGCTGAATTAAAGGCACAAAACTGCTTTCATGTGTGCTCAGATCAGTTTGAAGTCCAGCAGCAGCAGCAGCAGCAGCAGCAGGAGGAGGAGGAGGAAGCTCTTCCTGCTGCCGAGCGTCCCTCCCCCTGCCTTCTCCGCCCCCTCCAGGCCCTCTGGCTCCACCTCCCTGTTCTCTCCCTCCAGAACGCCCAGCCTCGGCACGTGTACCGACGCGTGCACATGGCTGTGGCGTGTGAAGTGGGGAGAGATTTAAAGACACGCAACCACAAACACTCCACTCCGGGCTCTGCCTCCTGTTCTCTGACCCGCTGCACATTCTGCGCTGGCTGATGCTGTTGTGAAGCTACTGTACTCTGGTCACATGCCAGAAACTACAACCTCCCCGCCACTGACTCATCACATCTCTGTTTACCTCCTCGTCTCCTCAAAACTTCCAGCCCTGCTGCAGAATGACAGCAATAAAATTAAGAAACCGCACATGTCACGGTTGAGCTCATGTGACTTTGACCCCGCGGGACAGAAAGTGCTCGGTCACGGTGGGGTTCTGTTGCTGCTGAATCACAGATACAGCAGATAACCTTGATCACTAGTGAACTGTGGAGCCTCCTATCAGCGGCCGGGACACTCTGTCTCCATCATGGCCGCCGCTGGGCCCATACCGGTGGTTCCACTCACCGTGCAGGCAGTCGCTTCCTCCGGAGAGACCCTGCGGCTGAGCCACCTCCAGCCCGATGAGCGACGGCGAGGAGGAGGACGATGGCGACGAGGACGAGGAACCGGGAGGGGACGAGGGCGGTAGGCACTGGGAGCTCTGGTTGGGCACCGCCGACTGGGAGCTCTGTGAGGGGATCTGGGCCGAGCTGGAGCTGTTGTTGCTGTGCATGCTGCCCATCCCGTTCTCGGTCAGAAACTCCTCCAAGTCCATGTACTGAAGCTGGAAGAGGCCGCCGTCCGCGGGCAGGGTGCGATCCCACAGCAGAGGCCCCAAGAACTGGTTGAAGTTTCCTCCGTTTCCGGAACCGGCGCCGCAGCCACTACTGCTGCCATTGCTGCCGATTCCACCACCGTTCCTCATGGAGCACACTCCCAGAGAGTCCTCGTCCAGGTCCAGCCTGTCCTTATCTGCAGGAGACAAGACACTACGTTGGTGCAACTTCAACACAAAGTTTCCTGGAGACATGTGAGGCAGCAGGTGGACCCGCCAGCAGCAGAACCTCCCCCAGATGGAGCAGATGGCAGCAGAATCGCAGCATTAAGGGAGACGAAACCAATTTGTTGTCATAACATCTACATAAGCTCCTGAACAAATCTCACAATGGCTGCTGTGGCAGCTCGAGATGCAGCTGAAAACATGTTGGTGTTAATCTGGATGCAGCCTGGAGCTGGATTATAATCCAGGTGCATCACAGGCAGCATGTGAGAGAAACCAGATGCCTGAATGTGAACAATGCATGTGAACAGTGTGTTTGGATCAGAACTTGTCTCACCTTTGCCTTCGCAGGGGCTCTTGAGGCGCTGGTCCCCCTTCATGGGGTGCTGCAGCAGCGACTTCAGACCCGCCATGGAGCTCAGGTGGCCCCCGGTGAGGGAGCCCGCCGGCTGGTTACAACCTCCGAACTGGGGGCTCGCTCCGGCCGGAAGGTCGGGGTTCGGGAGCTGGGAGAGCTGCCTGGACATCCTGGACCAGACACGGAGACACCTGGAGCACCGGAGGGGGGCGAGGCGAGCGGAGTGGAGCACCTACCAATGGGACGATACGCTGGGCGGCTGGGGAGGGGGCGAGGGGGGCAGTTTAGAAGAATAACAACAACCGACAGAGTGACGCAGCGGCGCCGAGTTTCAGAGTTGGCTTAACTTTTACCTGAGGGTCGTGCAGAGCTGCTTATTTCCACGCAGAAATATTCTCGTCGAAGTATTCCATCGCAGTGTGGGAGGAACCGAGCATCCGAGCAGGAACCGTCCAGAACCGGGAGAGCTGCGCGTAAAATCCCCCGAAATCCAGGAAACACTTTCCAAAACAGTGCGCGTGGAAAAGCAGGAGAGAGACGGAAAAAAAACCACGCAGCGGCGGCAGCAGCGTCCGTGTCGGTGGGTGACAAGTTGTGTTGCTGTTTCTGCGCTCGGTGTCCGTCGGGGGAGGAGGAGGAGGCGGACCGGGGGGTCGTTTCCTCTTTCTGTCTGTACTTTCTGCGCGTCCGGTGGATCCAGTCACGGGCTCACGGGCTCGGCTCTGTGTTCGGGTCGCTCCACGTCCACGGTCTCTCTCTCTCTCTCTCTCTCTCTCTCTCTCTCTCTCTCTCTCAGCTGGAACGGACACGGGCAGTTCACGTGACGTCACAGCTCGCGGAACAAGCGAGTCCAGGCGCGAGAGGCGCGGCGTGAGCGCGGCGCTTATTATTTACGGCCCCGCCCACCCTCGTGCCACACCTCGAGGAGGACACCGTGTTTGTTTGCAGCCGCCGCAGCTCCACGCACCGTGTTGCTGGCGCAGCGCAAAAAAAAAAAAAAAACACGCAAAACTCCCGCTAACCGTGTCTCGCGCTGCCACAATTTAGCGCCTTTAATGCGTGGTTAGTGCGTGTCCCCGGTGTGCGCGGCCCCGCCACAGCGCTCGCACCGTGCAGGACTTTTCCACTTTCCTTGTAATCCACCGGCAACGTGAGTGCGCCGTTTTTTCAGGCGAGAGGAACGCGCCCGCACGTTGCCTCGCGGCGCACAATAGCTGTTCCAGCTCACGTGTACGCGGCACGCGGAGCCCTGGCCTGTGCGCTCGCGGCTCGGGCTCCGATTGGCTCCCGGTGCGGCCGCGGCTCCGCCCACGTCGCGCGCTGATTGGCCAGAACTAGGTCGAGCCGGCCCGCCCGCGCGGATTCCCCCTCGTGCATGCCACTGCCGCGTGAGAGCCGTCTGGAAGGGGAGAGCGCGAGGCCGCCGTCCTACTGTACGGCCGCCGCTGCGCACATGCAAAACAGCGCGACGTCTGTGCACAGTCACACATGCAGGAGTAATCAGATTACTCACAGAGTCAGCACACACCGAGGAACAAAGTGAACCGGAGGAACCGACGTAGAGCCGCCAGCAGGAAGCAGAGCCCGCTGCAAGCACAACTGGGTTTATTCATGAGTAGTTACTGGTAGTTAACAGGTTAATAACAACTAGAGAAACCACGTCATAAATAGTGATCATACATGTTGACCAACACTGTGGGTAAAGGATGTTTATCAGGGAGCAGAATGATGAATAACTTGTGTTTTTATCGGTTATTTACAGATTATTTGCAATATTTTATCACCATCATTCACTCACTGTTAACTTTTAATGCTTGGTTATCTTTTATTTGTTATTTCTATCTATCTATCTATCTATCTATCTATCTATCTATCTATCTATCTATCTATCTATCTACCCATCTTTGTTTTCTTACATTGCAGATGATGTCTAGTAAAATCACATAAATAATAATAATGTACATGACCAACAGGCCAAAAGTATGATTATACTATGATATAACATACTACTACTACTATTATTGTTATTATATTTTATTATACTACTACTACTATTTTTATTATTATTATTATATAATATTATACTATTATACTATGATATACATAAAGACAAACAAACAAAAAACAGGCACATGTTGACCAACAGGCCAACACTGTAAATAAATGATGTGTGGGGGACTTAAAATAGTGAATATTTTTATCTGTTATTTTACAGATTTTCCATAATATGCTACAGTACAGGTGATATCTTGTGAAATCACACAGAAAAATAACATTTATGTTTAATGTAAAAATACAATAATAATAATAATAACAAAAGAGACCAAAGCGGGGACTATTTTAAAAAAAATATTTTATAACATTTGACTCTAAAATTAAATGTAAAATGATATTAACAACTAATAAAAATGGCAATTGTTTTCCCCCCTAAGTTCTGGTAAATTCAATATATTATCTAATAAAATCACAGAAAAAGAGTATTAATATATGCCTTAACTGTTAAAAACAACAACAGCAACAACAACAACAAAGAAAAGAAAAAGACGAAAAAATTAGTAAAATAGTAAATAATATCCACATCCAAAACAATAAATACATATATATTATTTATTTTATTTATTTATTTTTTACAAATAGTCATTTTTGAATGATTGTTGTTGTTGTTGTATAGAATATATGTTGTATTGATTAAAAAAAAAAAAAAGTGAGCTTTTACAAGATTGAATTTCCCTTCTGGGATAAATAAAGTATTTTTCATTTCATTTCATTTTCATTCATTTTATTTACAATGCTTAGCTGTAAAATGACATTATTCTTAACTGTATTTAAATCAGCAAAAATATGATTATTTTACAAATATTCTCTGTTGTTTTTTTAATATGTATACTAGGAATTGAAAAATAATATTTTGTTAATTTATTTCTTTATTTTTATTTTACAAATTTTTTTGTTTGTTTTTTTTAAATTACAGATCATATTTGGTAAAATTATCCCAAAAAACGTAAGAATAAACACGTTAACCATAAAAAACAGGCCAAACCTGTGAATAATTGCCACATGAAAAATCAGCAAGTTTACAATTAGCAACTTGTACTTTTCACAATGTTTGACTGTAAAATTATATCATTATTTAAATCAGAAAAAATATCTTTATTGTTCAGATATTTGCTGTTATTTAAAAGAAAGCTGATGCATTTTAAGTACTGTTAAAAAAAAAAAATTTTAAAAACCACTATTCTGTTTAAGTAAATTACAGTTAATAATAAATAAAATAAAATAAAATATATACATATATATATATTTTAAAATGTAAATAATGTCCACTTAATGGTAATCTGTTCTTTTACATTGTGCCCCTTTGCATATTACACTGTTTACAGATATTTGTTGGTATTTTCATCATTTTTTACATTTATTTATGTTTTTACTGACATATTTTGAATATTACAGTATTCCAGCATTTTTTTAAAATATTTTTTTTTATGTCACCTTTGCTGGAGGAAACTTTTTTAATTTTTTTTTTACTATGCCATATATGAAGTGTTTCCTGTTTAGAAGCTGGACCCCAGGCCTCCTCTTAATATGTCCCCGCCAGTGTTCAGATGGAACCTTCGCCCATGCAGATGAGTCACCGCATAAAAGCTTTAATAAACACCTGAGATTATCCCAATATTATGCACCAAAATAACAGCGAGCTCAGTTTCCCTTCGTTTGACTCTGTCCCCGCTCTTCTTTTAAATAAAGCTGCCAGACTTTAATTCTGTCCAGCTGTGGTCTCCTCGCATTATCACCAGCTGACCTGCCTCCTCCTCCTCAAACAGCAGCGGGGATGAATCATCACATTTCACGTCTGCGAGCGACACAGACGGAACTAAAACACGTCCCTGGGACCATGGGTGTGGGTCCGGTTTGGGCATTCAAATATTTGGAGCATCAAACACTTAATTTCCTGAATTCTAGTAAACTTTAATCAGCTCCAGTTCTGCGTGAGTCTGAGGAAAACATCACTAATAGGGCTGAAATATTCACCAAAAATATCAGATTTTTTTGGACAGATAATTAGGTTGTCATGAAAATGGGAAAAAAAACATGTTTTTCCTTAAATTGATGCAAAAAAAAATCCCCAGAATGCAAGAAATGAAGCGTCTGAGAGGTCAAACAAAACCTGTCAAACATACGACAAACAAGAGGCGGGGAGTGGAGGAACATCACCACGCCGTCTGTTTCTTCACAATTTTGCACCTCTGACAAATAAATTCACTCTGGGGACATAAACTACATCTCATCTCAGCAATAGCGAATCCTGCAACAGTGCTGTCAGCGGTAACGAGGAGTTCTGCTTCCCGTCGTTTAACTCGGTCCCGGTTCTCCTCCTGAATAAAGCTGTCAGACTTTAATTCTGTCCAGCTGTGGTCTCCTCACATTATCACCAGCTGACCTGCCTCCTCCTCCTCAAACGGCAGCGGGGATGAATCATCGCATCTCACGTCTGCGAGCGACACAGACGGAACCAAAACGCCGGGCCTGAACGGTTAGGAGAAAACAACTAATGGTGATTTTTCAGACAGATATTGTGATTTGATCTGTGGATGGAGGTCTGGGTTTGACCACGTCACAGAGCATTTATCCTACATTTGAGTTGTTTCAAGTTGGTATGATGATTTGAAAGATCAGTTCTTTATATCTCCCACAGGTCTGACCATTAGAAATCTCTGCCCAGGCATGCAGCAGTGGCTAATAAAGGTGTTGAATCTGTGTCATTGCAGCTGAAAACCCAACATACACAACACGTGCACGCCTCCCTGCATTAGATTTTAAATTGACCTCTGACCTTTTTATTACTTTGCATAAAGAAAAACATCTTCACCATAAAATTTAAGCAAAAAGGAACAAAGTGCTGCATAAAAATGTACAAAAATGCAGCAAAATCAGTGTCAGAAATGATGCTCAGAAATGAATGCACGAGGACCCCCAGACCCGTTTCACGAGTCCCTACTAGCGGTCTAATGCTATCAGTGCCCGGGTTTATAGAAGGAGGTATTATGAGACGCTAAACTGGTCAATTGTGGCTAAAATTCGAGCCTCACTGCTTAAGATTCCACTATATATTCAATGAACACCTGAAATTTGTTTTCCTTTGCATGAATAAAAACATTTCCGCCATGAATTGAGGCAGAAAAAGGAACAAACTGGTGCATAAAAGGTCACCAGAATGCAGACAAATGTGAATACTGGTGCTATATGAAGCATTACGAGTGTCTAATCTAGTTAATATAGACATTTTATCAATCAACAAACAGAACATCTTGGAGCCTCACCGCACTATTTTCCATTATAGCTTCAACTGACACCAGAATTCTGTTTTCCTTCACATAATTAGACATTTAAATAATACATTCATGCAAAAACAATACAAACTGGTGCTTAAGCTGTCATCAAAATGCAGAAAAATTAGCATCTGACATGAAAAAGTGTAATAGTGAAGCTCACCCGGACCCCCGTTGAATGTCCCAGTGCACAGGTTTACAGCAGGAGGTGTTATTTGGGTAATCGTGGCTAAAATACTGACATTTAATAAAAGAACAGAGTGTCTGAGAGCCTCGCTGCATTGTATTCTGTTACAATTTGAATTAACTTGTGAGTTTTGTCCTCTTTTACATAATTAAACCTTCAATTTATGCAAAAAAGGAACAAATCGGTGCATAAAAAGTCCCCAAAATAGCAGAAAGACGAGCGTCCGAACTTGATGTGATGTTTAATGAAACCTGTGACCAGAGCTGAGTGTCTGATCTGGGTGACTGAACAACACGATGCCTGAGAGCCTCGCTGCTCCACATTCTGTTCTGAATTGTGTTCTTACACAATTAAAGACATTTAAACCACAAATTTATGCAAAAAAGGGACAAACTGGAGCATAAAGATCCACCACCGTGCAGAAGACTAAGCGTCTGCCTCCATGTGTCCAATAATAACATGAAACCTGCACCCATGCGTCTCCCTGTGGCTCCATTACAACACGAATGCATGAACTACACGCACCGAAATCTGCTTTTAAACCAAAATTCACTCCTGAGCAGCCGTTTCTACTGAGATGTGTGGAGCTGCTCGGCCGGTTCGTTTAATTGGAGGCATTAATCCTGCAGTAAACAGCCACACTATTCACCCTGCCAGAGTCCAGCCTCTGTCACCGTGGCGTCCATGTGACTGCTTCACTCGTCCCCGGCAGGCCGACGCGAGCCGCCCAGCGCCACCTGGTGGAGCTGGAGGATTCACACAGTCACACAGCATTGGAATAACACTGAGTTTACCTGAAGCCGCTCGTCACCGTGCAGCGGTTTGTCCAATAACGTCGGCGTTTTAATGAGATTTATTGGTATATCGACTACATCCTGGCATCCACTTAGTCCACAGCGTGATGTTAAATTCACACAAAGCTAAATAGAAAATACTGACTTTGGTAGCAGTTACAACTGGGTTTGTACCGTCTTCTGGAGTCTGAATCAGAAACGAAAGGAAAGCAAATGATTACACTTAAGGTTTATTCATTGCTGAAATATAATCAACTACTGACTTCTCAGTAAATAATGTGATAGAAATCTACTAAAACTATCATTTTTCTTTAGAAGAAAAACAAAAACAAAACAAGGCTTGACAGGGGTATGAACATTTCATATGTGAACAAAGTGACTCAAAACTTATTTTCCTTTAGAAGAAAAACAAAACGAAACGAGGCGTGACAGTAAGAACGTGATTGCAACTCAGCAAAAAAGTAAAAGGTAGTCAGGGTGAGTATAAGATTGGCATGAAGACTGATTGGGTTACACACATAAATACATGGAATATTACATCTGTTTCTATCATGATAGGTCCTTGTCTTTAACACACCGTGAAGTACTGTAGAAATAATCACTGCTAAAAAGAGCATACAAATAACATGAGATAAACATGTGTTACAGTCCACTTGTTTAACCTGTTTTCAATCTCTTGGTATAAAAGCTAGGAATATCTCAAATAAATGAACATCATAAGCAAGGCTTCTTGTAAGTTTCTTCATTTTGGCAGGAGAGGGATCCTTGTAATGCTAATTACCAGCAACTCTGACATTTTATCTATACGTGATTAAATCACTAGGGAATATAGAGCAACTTCCAAATCAAGTTTACACTACAAACTTCTGGGGATATACTGAATAAACCATCACATACTGTAGGAGTGATTTCACAACCTCAGCAAAAAACTTGACCAGAGAACAAACATGCACTGACAAACTATCAACAAAGGTCTTTGTCCCCATGTCCCTACTCCTAATAAATGCACTTTACAGTTTAAAAAAATCCTCAGAGCCTCTAAGTGAACAACAACAAGACAAAATACACAGCAGAGACGTTTATCATACAGCAAGAGGTGTAGCAGGGAGACTAGTTATGGGGAAGAGAGATACATTAGCAGGTCATTTCACCTAAACTTGTCTAGTAACTGCACAGTGTCAGCCAAGCATAGTGTCAATGCACTTAAGGGGTTAATTAATGATCCTATGGAAACAGTCAAAACGCCTTCCAATATAATCTGGAAGAATTTCTGGTGATATTTTAGAGGACGCTCTACAGTAGTTGTTAACACACTCACTCTAATAGTCAGATGCAACAGAGACACGAGGCAAATCCTCCTGAAGGCAGCAGGAGCCTTTTTCAAGTCCCTTTATTTTCGCTCACTTTCCTGTTTTAGAACCGAATATCTTCCCTCTGGTTTGAGACGCTCAGTATCTGTATGGTCCCTGCAGGAACGGCATCTCCTCCTGACCCTCGCAGCCCTGCCTCTCTCCGGCTCTTTTCGAGAGCTTCAGCCTCTTGGCGTCTCCCCGCTGCAGTCCTTTCGCCCGGCGGCGGCAGGACACCTTGTGCCGGTGGAGGAGCGCGGCGTTCCAGAAGCGAGCGGAGCAGCGTCGGCAGGAGAAGGTCCCTCTGGCCCGGTGGGAGGCCCGGTGGATGAAGGCCGTCAGAGGCCGGTGAGACTGCTTCCCGCAGACGCTGCACCTCAGCCGCTCCTGAGTGCTCAAAGCTTTCTGCGGGTGTTTCACCGCCATGTGGACCAGCAGCCCCGCTTTACGGGAGAACACCGAGTTGGGGCAGATGGGACAGCCGAAGCGTTTCACGGGGACTTTGAGGGACGACAGGATCTGCACCTTCACGCCGCCGGTGTTGACCAGCTTATAGCCGCCACCACCTGAACCCCCGCCTCGCCTGATGGTCAGGCGGAGAGAGCCTTGTTTTTTATTCAGCTGCCCTCTTATCGTACAACTTATCTTTCTCTTCCTTTTGACTCCATCGAATCTGACTACATCTTGGGATTCCCACTTATTTTCCCTCCAATCTCTCCTGTCGGACTTTTTTTTTTTCTTCTTGTGCCGCCTCATGTCGTCATGTGACAGCTGGACGCCGCAGTCGAGGTGTTGGTGCGACTGGGTGCCTGACTGATGATGGGGATGATGGTGGGAGTGATGGTGATGGTGATGCAGATGATGATGTTCGGTGGAGGGCAGCTCCGTGAGGGGCTGGAACGGGGCGGTGGTGTGCAGCGTGCGGCTACGGGATCCGGCCGGGTATATGTGCTCTCCTTTGACCCCGGCTGGGGAGTGCGGGTGCTGCGGGGGCATGATGGTGGAGTTGGGAGGTAGCGGCTGGGAGTAGGTTGGGGCATTGGAGGCAGAAGACTGGGCCGGCGCGGCGTCGTAAAACAGGGGGGAGTAACCGGCCGGTGGTTGCGGCGGCGGCTGTTGGTGGCTGTGAGTGACCACACTGAGGCTCTGCCCTCCGTGGCCTTCGCCAGAGGGAGCCATCTGCAGCAGGGCATTGGTGGCCGCCTCGCTCTCCGACGCCGACTGATTCACGTCACTCCCGCCTCGGTTGTCTCCCGACCCGCCGCCCCCCTCCTGCGGGTTGGACGGCTCGGCTCGGGTCATCCCATGCTGAGACTGCCGGTGTCGGGTTAGGCTGTTGGAGTAAGCAAACGCCTTCCCGCACACCTCGCAGCAGAAGAGCTTCTCGCCACCGCCTTCGTGAACCGTCTGGTGGTGGGCAGTCAGGTGGAAGTGGTGGCGGAAGGACTTCCAGCATATGGCGCACGTGTAGAGTCGAGGAGGCGGCGGGGGCTGCGGTTGAGGCGGCGGCGGAGGCTGCTGCTGCTGCTGGGGGTTGGTGTCTTGAGGCTTGACGTCTTGAGTGTAGGAGTAGTAGGAGGAGGTGCTCGGTGCTTGGTTCTGGCTCCTGTCTTGGGCCACGCTACATTGAGGATTTGGGTTAAAGCTGTTCAGGTTCTCCGGGGCCGGCGTGGTGGGCACCTCCTCCAGCTCCCCTTTCTGGTGGAGTTTGCTGTGCCTCCTGAGGCTCTGCGAGTAGCCGAACTCCTTCCCGCAGATGGTGCATTTGTAATTCTTCGCTCCCGAGTGGACTGTTTGATGCTTGCTGAGGTGGAAAGCCTCTCTGAAATACTTTCCGCACACAGTGCAGTGATGGGGTTTCTCTCCCGTGTGGATGCGGTCGTGCCTGCGCAGGGTCTCGCGCCGTGCGAACCCTTTTCCGCAGACACTGCAGAGGTGGGTACGTGGGAGCCCGCTGGGCCCCATTCTGGGGGTGTATTGCCTACGTTTGGGGGGCTGGTCACCAGCCGCGGGGTCTTTCTTAGCTCTTGGTTTGCGGGGACGTTTTGGTTTGGCAGTAGGATTCTGCGGGTTGTTGCTCATTGTCTCCTGACTCCCACCACCTCTGAAATTCTTATCCATGCCAGACGTGGACGAAGGCGAGCCCAGAGGTCCTAAACCGAGACCACCTAGCAGACCTCCTATGATGTCCCCCCTATCATCCCCTCTATTTCCACTGTTACTAGCTGCCGTTATAGCAGAGATTGCATTATTGACAGAGCTAGTGACATCATCCTCTGAGTCATCCAGGAGAGAGGAGAGGGGCAGGTGGGGCTGTTGCTGCGGGTGGTGGTGCTGGTTGTGGCTCTGAGAGTGTGGATGCAGTGTCGGGGCCAGGGGTGCCTTTCTCAGAGCGGGGCCCGCCATCCCACTTCCACAGGGGGAGGCACCAGAGTAGCACGGAGACGGGTTACCTTGAGAACGGTGGTCATCGTGGTAGCCTGTGTAACGATTCCGAGAGTAGTCAGTGGGGTATTTACCATCTGTTCTGTCCCTGTCATTTGAATTCCCTCCCCTTCCAGACTGAAACAGACCATCACATCCTAAACCTGATTTTGGCTCTCCTTCCCCCACAATGATTACACCATCCTCTTCCTCAGTTTTCCCATAAATAACCCCTCTATTGCTCTGATAAGTTCCCCCTCCTCCATTACCTCCTCCTCCACCCCCTCCCCCGACTCTGTCCTCACCATCAGCTCCTGTCTTGCTGCCCCGTTGTTTGGGTCCCCTACCTGGCTTGCCGCAGGTGCCTGAGGCAGCATGGTTCAGTAGAGAGGTGCTCTCACGGAAGGCACGACCACAGGCGGGACATCGGAACGGCTTTTCCTCATGTATCTTCTCATGGCGTGTCAGTGACTCTCTACGATTAAAAGCCCGAGAGCAGGTGGAGCAGCCATAGGGGCGGGCTGAGGAGTGTATAACGCCATGTTGCAGGAGGTGCCCTTTTTTCTTAAAGCCTTTGCCACATTCGGGGCAATGAAATATTTTGTCTGGGCTAGGACAAGAATTGGATGTGGGTTGGGAGGGAGTTTCTTGGGTCGAATGGGGGAGGCTCGGGTCAGTCTGCGTTTTAATGTGAATGGGGTTTGGGCCAGTAGTGGCAGTATTGCTAGTACCTGCTGTGGTTGGCTCATGCATGCGCAAATGCCTGCGAAGGCTCGAGAGGTGAGGGAAGCTTTTGCCACACTCTCCGCAGCTATAAACGGGCTCTGAATCGGACTCTGCGGCGTTGGCTTGCATTGAGCTCTGGTTATCAGATTTAGAAAGGTGGGAATCGTTAGTAACCAGTACTGAGGCAGCAGTGGAAGAGGGAGCAGAGGAGGAGGAGGAAGATACTACTGATGAGGATGAGGATGATGAGGCGAGAAGGGATGACGGGTCTCCACCCATGTTTGACATACCCACCCCACTCCCAATTAAAGCTGGAGGCTGACCGTGACTAAGCCCTCCGTTACTACTCGCGGTGGGGTTGCCGCCGTGGCTGCCGTGGCCGTGGCCGCTACTGCTGTTACTACTGCTATCGGATTTTCTCTGAGGCAAATAGCCGGCCATCGCTTTCTTCCTCCTGCTGCTACTGCTGCCACTACTACTCCCGCCTCCGCTGTTCTCCCCTTTACCGTCATCCTTAGATAAGGATAAGTGCAACGGCAAGGGGAGGGGAAGACCCGCCTCCTGTTGCATCAGAGACGCTATCTGATTTGACGAGAGCACAGGAATGCCCTGGAAGTCAAAGCCGCCCAGTGATGAGGGCTGGGAGCCCGGGTGGAGAGGGTGGTGAGGGTGGGAATGAGAGTGAGGATGGGACAGGGCGTGAGGTGGAAGCTGCTGCTGCTGGGGGGGCTGCTGTGGAGCCTGCTGGGGCTGGGGGGTGGAGTGGCCATGAGAATGAGACGAATGCAAAGCAGGAGGCGGAGCGAGGCTACTGCTGGGCTCCCCCCCTGTTTGACTCAGCCCGATCCCTAAGTGGTTATGGGTTCCCTGCTGCACCAGAAACTGCTCTAAGCTAGCGTTAGCAGGCACCCCGGAAAGGAAATACTGATTAGCGGCTAACATGCAACTAAACTGTTGGTGAAGGCTCCGTGCATCAGACTGAGCCCCAACCAACTGGTGCCCCAGCGAGCTGACTGCACTGCTGCTAGAAGGGTTGTTAGAGGTGGCCACGGAGGTTGAAGGGGAAGGAGAGGAAGAGGAGGGGCCAGGTGATGCTTGGGGGACAGACAGGCCGGGATGCAGAGGAGGTGGGGGTGGAGGTGCTGATGTTACTAATCCTCCTAATCCCCCAGCGCTCCCACTACTGCTACTTCCCCCAGCAAAGTGCTCAAAGCGGCCTACACCTGGATGTAACTGCTCCTGTGCTAGTGCTGCCTCAGACGGGTGGAAAGAGCGCAGGAACTGTGGGTAGCCTGAAGAATGGCTTGAGCTGCTGCTGCTCATCTTGCTTGACTTTGAACGAGAGCTCTGAGATGAGGAAGGCTGTTGTTGTAAAGGTGGGGGAGGAGGGGCACTCATCTTGGCAAAAATGGAGGCAGAATCAGAAAAGGCGTTACCTCTAGACCCCTGCAGGGGGCCCAAGCCAAGTCCAGACAGAAGAGCTCCAGATGACTCAGCCTGCTGCTGCTGCTGCTGCTGGAGTTGATGCTGGTGAAGTTGCACTTGCTGCTGATGCTGTAGCTGTCGATCTAAACCAAGGCCTTTGAACTGGTGGGCCTGGTGCCCACTTAACATCTCTATAATGTCCAGATTGTATTTTCCAAATTGGAACATTTCCCACTCACTGGCACATGGGGGTGCAGGCGCCAAACCTCCAGCGATAGGAGCGGCAGCAATGATCCAAACTTTACCCTAAGGGTGAAGGCTACGCTACTGTCGTTTTAGTCCAGAACTTTTTAGCTGACGGCTTAAATCTTAAGTTCGTCTTTCCAGATTGTTTACGTCTGGCGCTGCTACTCCCTGTTGATCATCCACCGCCCGCACTCTACTTCCAAAACGAGTGGGGCAGCTGCGATGATAAGCTGATGATCAAAGGGTAAAAAACAAAGTCTTTTTGGCAGGCAGATGAGCTCCACCTAATTTCAAAATTGCTCAGAATAGTTTTTTTTCTATCGAGAAGCAGTTCAAACAACTTCTTCTTGTTTCCTTTGAGAATTACTGCGATGACATTTTCCTAAGCAAGATTCCTCATCCGTGTTCAGCCGAGAAGTTCCTATAGCTGAAAACACAAGATTCACAAGGGGATGAAAGTCACAGAGAGGCTAGAAAAACTAGCATTTAGAGTAAAAGTTCACCCGCACCCCCTCGCTAATTCGGCGTTAAGCTCTGAAGCTCCTTTTTTTTGCTCCTAGTAATGTTTAATGTCACCTGATTGGTGACATTAAATGTCATGTCGGAGTCAGAATCCAAGGCTGTCGCTATGTTAAGGCTGTTTTTATGGGTTCTGTTGGTTTTTCCTAAAAACCTGTCGGATAGCAGGTTCTGGATTGTTAAGGGTCGGATTATCGAGTCACGACTGTATCTCGATTACAAGCTCAGACTTGGTTAATATTTGCGATAGAATTTCACGTGAAGTTGAAAATCCAACAACTCTTAGTGTTTTTACAGCTTCAGACTCAGTACGGTGTAATTTTGTCATTTTTTTAGAAGAAAACTTTCAAACCAGTGCAGGTTGTGGAGTTCAGAGGTTTAATCTGTACCCAACTAAAGGTAAATCTGTAAAAGATGCTTTAAATTCATTCAATAATTACACTGTGCTGTAAAGAGCTTCAGGTACAGCGAGTTTCTTCTCACTGTGAGTCAATCACATACAACTAAATTCAAATCTCTCACACTTTTTTCAGATATTCCCACGTTTTTACAGCCGCTGCAACAATGAGCAGCATGTTTGCAATAACTTACCGTGATGCAGTTCTGCTAGACTCGCTGGACAAAAAGCCAATTTTTTCTTGTTATTAGGTTCGTGTTTACTACAGAAGACAAAGTAGTTTTATGCATATAGGTGCACTGGGTGGGCGTCCGTGTGAAAGGAGGCAGACTTGGCTCACTGAACAAAGCTGCTCCGGAGGTAGTGACACATTATTACGTTTTTACACACCGTCCTGTCCAACCTTTACCTTCTACGCGCTGCAGCAGCAGCTCTGTGATGCATCTCACGCTGCGTTTTGTCCACAGATATACAGTAAAAATACCTGCTAGTGGCACTAAATGTCTGCTGAGAAACGAGGCGCAGATGGAGAAGCCACGGCGTTAAAAGAAAAACACATTAGACGGCAGATGTTTTGGTTTTGGTTAAATGCAACCGTGCGTTGATCATTTCTCTTTTAGCCGCAGTCACACTTGCATCATGTGCTGTCGGATGTTTCTTTAAAATGACAAGTTCTCAAACTGCAGCAGTGCAAGATTCAAAAACAAACTGATGAAACAGGTCGCGCTGCAGTGAAATGTCAACTCTTTTAGGGCTTTTTAGTGACAGAACTTTGGATAAAATCACGAGGATAGAAAGTGAAAGGAGGATGATGATGATAAATGTTCATCTGGTGTCAGATAAGGGCTCATTTAACGCCATAATTCAGTCATAAGAAGCTTTTCTGAGTTTGTATTTCTGCACACTTTGTAACCTGCGAGCCTCATTCATTCAAAACTAATCATTAGTGCTTAATTCTGGGCCACACGTCTGACAGCAGCTTTCAAATACAGGTCAAAAGGTCCCGCAAAAAAAAAAGGAAAAAAAAGTTAATTTCCATTCAGTTGGAGTTTAGATGTGAGGCGAGGAACTTTAAGGCCACAGAGGGCTCCGAACTCACTGCTGACTTTCTCTTTTCTGTTCCAGTGTGTTTATTAGATACAGATAGCTCCAGAAAAAAACACATATTCAGCTTCATCTATCCTAAAAATAAAAGGTCCTATAAGGTGAAAACAAAGGGGAGGCTTTCATCCCCAAGGAGGCTCAATAATGGGCCTAATTACTGCTAATTATTCATATTGTTTTGTTTTGTTGGTGTTGTTTTTACCGATTTCCTGCTAAACGCAGCGTTAGAGATTATAAAGGAGATAGTTTATATGTTTTCATTTAATTTGATGTATTTTAAACCAAAAAAAACAAAAAAAACAACAACACATAGAAGCATTTCAGTTCAGTTTAAACCAGAATAAATCACTATAAATAGAAATGTGGTAAGTGGATATCACTAGTTTGGGGCTTGACTGTGTGTTTTCCATATTTGTTTTATAGCTTCTAAAATATCCATAAAAACAAGGAAACTAATTAGAGAGATAACAGGATTGGCAGGAACCAAAAACACACTGTTTACTGTCACAGAGGAGGAAAGAAACCAGAAAATATTCACTTTTAAGAAGCAGAAATCACAGAGTTTAGAATATTTTTAATTTTTTAAAAATTAATCAACCCCAATGTAATAATTATTCTCATTGCTGCTGTCAGCTGTTTTTAAATCTGTCCACTGTTTGGTCGCTAAAAGGTCAGAAAATGGAGAAAAATGTCAAATAAATGTAAAGAAAGAGCAAAAAAATAAAGATAATGAAAAAAAAGAGAGAAAAAAAACAGAAAATATTCACTGTCAAGAAGCTGCAACCACAGAATTTAGATTGTTTACATAAAAAATGAGGATCAATAGTTGATTGAACAGTTTAACTCAGCGGTAGCAGCACTAACAGGCCTGTTACAGACATTTCTGTGACTCTATACTTGTTTTATAGCATCTAAAATATCCATAAAAACTAGAAAACTAGCTAGAAAGATAACAGGGTTGGCAGGAACCAAACAGATGTTCAGTTTACTGTCACAGAGGAGGAACCAAACCAGAAAATATTCACTTTTAAGAAGCTGCAAATACAGAATTTAGATTGTTTACATTAAAATTGATGATCAAAAATAGCTAATAACTTATTAATTATTAATCAATTCTCACTAACAGGCCTGTAGCAGACCTTTCAGTGTGTGAATGTGTTTGTTTCTGTGTTTACTGAGGATCCCTGTTGTTGTGAAGCATCTGGTCTGATCACAGCTGCTGCACAAATCAGGCGATACTTTACTTTTTTCTCCTCATTTAGCGCAACAATAGGGCAGATTGATTTGAATAAATTTGCATAAACAGAAACTTTAGCGGACACTCTTCGCTGTAAGTTGTTTTTTTTAGCCTCCGTCGTACTTTTTGGCGCCGCGGCTGCAGTTTGTGTCTCACCTTTGCGTTTCTTACCGTTTCCTGTGGTCGGAGTGATGGAGCCGGAGGGGAGTGAACACCATCTATCGCATGTGTGGCTGCCGCTCATTTTAATGTAAATCCTGACAACAACAAAAAACACGCACACACACACACACACACACACACACACACAAACGCTCAGATTAGCCGCTGCTCGGTGTCCCGGTGAGCAGCATCCTCACGGAGAAAAAACGGCCCAAACACCGGAGGCACAACTTCTCTTTAGCATCTTATTCGGCAGCGTGTCCGGAGCCCCGCGCGGAAACAGCCGCCGATGCTAACGCTGCTAGCCGCCGCCGCCGCCGCCACCGCGAGCCCCGCAGCGGGACCGAACGGCGCCGTTAACGGCCCCGGGGCTCGCGGCGGCGGCGTGCTCGTGTGCGCGACGCTATTCGGGCAGATGTTTACCTTGGGCTCCGGTTGCGGGGCTGCGCCGGCGGCTGGATGCGGCCTGTCACGCCTTCTTCTTCTTCTTCTTCTTCTTCTTCTTCTAGCCGCCGAGCCGAGCTAGCTGCCGTCCGCTTCCATTTCTGCGTGCTGTTTTCCAGTCGTTAGCCGGAGCCATTTTCACTGATGCTGAGCGGGGTGAGCTCCGGTTCCGCTGCCCGCCGGGACCGCACACGGCGGCCGCCCGCTCTCCATCTCAGTGCGCGCTGACCGGGAGCCGCGGCTCGGACGTCGGTTCGGCGGAGGGAGCTTTGGACGGTCGCTGGGAATATTTTTGGGTAAAAGTGAGTGACGTGTGCTCCCTGAACATTGGTCCTTTCCGGCCCTGCTAATGGTTCCGGGTAGCGGCAGCGGGGCTCACGGCGGAGGCACCGAGCGCTCACAGGCGGGGTTCAAACTGGGTTAAACCCGCCGCAGCGCAGTCTCAGCCCGCGACGGCACACTGCCCCCGGTGCTCCGAGGTGCCCCTGCTGGGGGGCATCTTAAAGTTAACTGCCCCCAGGCTCCATAATGCAGCAGGTCCTGCAGGCCTGCGACAGGATTTATTAAAAATGCACCAAATTAAGGAGAAAAAAGTGTCACCGAGCTGTGGTCAACATGAAACTGTCCTCTGCAGCAGGTTTATTCCCACCACAGGAATAAACTACATCTTCTATATAACCTCTGACACACCTGTGAAGTAGAGCTGCAGCAGTTTATTGATTAATAGTTACCTATTAAATACAGTTCAACTATTTTATTAAATGATTAATCCGTCTGAGTATTAGAAAAAAATAAAAAATGTAGCTGCAGCTTCTTAATGTGAATGGAAATAATCAATAACTTCTACTTTCCAGTAGAAGAATCCAGCATTCAAACTAGATGTTGTGGTTGGATGTCGGTCTGATCTGCTCCATGCAGCAGGCCTGTGATAGTTGGTTATTAAAAATGCACTAAATCAAGAAAAAAAAGTGAAGGTAAATTATGCTAAACATTAAATTATCCTCTGCAGCAGGTTTATTCTAATCAGAATAATAAACTACATCTTCTGTATAATCTCTGACACACCTGTAAAGTAGAGCTGCAGATTAGTTGTTAACTATTAAATGCAAATCAACTATTTTGATCATCGATTTGAGTATTTTTAAAAATAAAAACATAGTTTTGCAGTTGCAGCTTCTTAATATGAATGGAAATAATCAATAAGTCAAGTAAACAACACATTTAAGTGCTTTCCAGTAGAACAAAAGGACACTCAAACTAGATGTTGTCGTTGGATGTCAGTCTGATCTGCTCCGTAATGCAACATGTGTGATAGTAGTTCATTAAAAATGCACTAAATTAAGTTTAAAAGTAAATTGTGCTAAACATTAAATTATCCTCTGCAGCAGGTTTATTCTAATCAGAATAATAAACTCTAAACACTCTATATAATCTCTAACACACCTGTAAACTTACCAACATGTAATGTCATATGCTATACCATATTACTTATAAAGAACAGATGCATCTCCGGATATTGATCATTTTTGTATATATATGCATATTATCGATAATAATCGATTAATGTGTTTGAGGTTTTTTTTTTAGATAAAACAATTCATATTTCCAGTTTTCTTTCCTCCTCTATGACCGTAAGCTGAACATCTTTGGACAAAACAAGACATCTGATCCACATTTTAGAGCAAACAGCGGATCCACAATCCAGAAAATCATTGTTGGAATAATCTTGAATGGAAGTAATGTTTGGATGCAGTCCTGATCTACAGCATGAGAGGAAATAATATTTAAAATCACTGATCAATCGTTTGAGCCACTTCTCAGACTAAATGCCAGCTTTTTTTTTTTTTTTTTATCTTATTTCGTAAGAGAACAGAATATTTAGAGTAATATACAGAATGTTTTGTGCTGTAGTTTGGGCAGGAAATAAAATCCACAAATATCTGAGCTGCAGCAATTAATCGATTATTGGTCAACTAATAATTTCATCTTCCATCATTTTGTTAATCGGTTGTTTGATCTGAGTTGTTTTTAAATATAAAACAGTTAAAATTCTGTGTTTGCAGCTTCTTAAATGGGAACATTTTCATTTTTTCCCCTCCTTTATGCTAGTAAACTGAATATTGTCATTTTTTACCGTTTCCTGACACCATAGAGGCCAAAGCGCTGATCGATTCATCCAGAAGCTAATTAGACAGGCGGGATCTGGCAACACTGCAGTCCAAAATCTGTAGATCTTAACCTGACAGTTACATCATTTTTCAGAGTAAAATGAATATAAAATGTTCGACTCTGTTCTCTCTGCAAAGTCAGCTCGTCCCACCTTCTTCCTGCGTTCCGCCCACATTAACATCACAGTTAGTCAGATTTATGATGATTTACTGATAGACTCATGTGTGAAGTTGTGTCAAAAATAGTGTGTAGTTTGGATTAAACAGTCCAGGAACAGAGACGCAGGTTCAGCCGTGAAGTCCAAAACACAACAGACTAAATCAGTAATAACCAGAGCTGATAATAAAGTCTGTTAATCCTGGTGACAGCTGATCCACAGAAACTTACGGTGACACATGTGTTCATGCTGATATGTTCCAGTTACTAAATGACCAGAGAGCTTCATGTGATTATGCATCCACATACATTGAGATCTTGATAGTGTTTCATAACTATCATTATATAATTGTGTTGAACCTGAAACTGACTCATCATTTTATCAGCATGCGCGTCTAAGATTTGAATTATTAGAATCACAGAAATGTTCCACAGTTGTTTATGTTGCTGTTCGTACGCAGACAGATAATCTGACAACCGTCAGCTCACACACGAGCGTTTATTGTCCGAGTGTCGGTCGTTCTCGTGAACTCGTCTTCATGTATGAGAAAGTGGGTTTGATTTCACTCAAAAGAAACCCGTCAGAACTATGAAATGACACGTGTGGAATTCTGTCATGAACAAAAACATGCAAAGAAACGAAAATGTGTTTTATATTTAGGCTCATTAGTTGACTGGAAACGTTCAAACCAGCCTCAATAAAAGCAGCCGGGTCTCGTAAAGTTGTTCAGCAAATCACGTTTTTTTCAACAAAATCCAGGTGAACGGTTCATCTTCACCTCAAGACACGAAGCTCGAGAACATTTAGGCAACTTCTAGAAAACATTTGAAGAGTTTATTTGCAAAAACGACTCGACATTTCTTCAAGTTCAGCCACAGAAACCATCAAACTCTGGAACGGAAGCAGATCTGATGAGGAAAACAAGCAGCTGGGATTAGTTTTGTTCTAAAGAAGAAAGTTGTGCAGCTTTCAGTTGGAGTTTTTTAGTTTTTTACAAACAACAAATGTTCTTCTTAAAGGCAGAATAATTTTCCTCGAAGACATTTTTCGGAAAAACGTTTGTCGAACGTTGTATTTAGAACGTCCTCCCTTTATTTTCATGTGAAAATTTGGAAAAGGTTCATGGAGTAACGTTTTAATCCCTCAACAACGTTCCCAAAACGTTCCACCTTTGCTAACACATCATTCAGAAGTTCTTCTAAATCACTTCTTATAACCTGTGTGTGTGTGTGTGTGTGTGTGTGTGTGTGTGTGTGTGTGTGTGTGTGTGTGTTTACAGCCTTACTTGAATGTGATGATCAGTCTGTTTGTTGCTTCTGTGTTGTTGTTGTTTTTTCTTTGCATATTTTCGTCTTCTTGTTTTCTTAATGTCACGTTGCTCTGTTCTTCTAAATTATTTAAAAAAATATTCTTGTTATTATTGTAACTCAGAACTGTTACATGAAGCCACATCTTGTATTAAATGTGTTCAGTTTTGCTCTAAGTTGTGAAAAAAAAGCAGTAAACAAAGAATGAAGTGAGTGGGTGTGTCTATACTTTGTGTGTCTTTGTGCTTTAACGTGTTGGCAGGTGCTGGACGCTGTGAGCAGAACGCTCATTGATGAGAGATCTGGAAACGTATTATGATGTTCTTCATGCACATTAGTCAGCTCAGTTCACAGGAATAGATTTAAAGTTTTGTTTAAAGCTGAGCATCTGTGAACCTCCTGCTGGTGAAACGTGCAAATGACAGAGAGGCCGTGTGATGCATCAGAGGCAGCTCCAGTCCAAAGCAAACATAATATGTTTTGTGTACCTGCTGCAGGAATTATTCCTGCGTCCTACATCTCAGCGCAATAAGTGTATTCACGGGAGGTTTTAAACATGAGCCGCCTTCAGCTGGCTGTAAGGATCGGTGTGATATAACTCACGTCAGCTGTAAATTACACTTTTCCTCTCATGTAGACTGTCAGCAGCAGCGTATATCCTGGCCGTGGCTTATACAACACCTCATTTAGCCGCCTGCCCGCTAACCTGCTGAAGGCTTTTTGTTAATATCGCTGCCGCCGCCGACTTTGACCCCTCAGAAAACATTAATTTGCCTCATGATCACTATTATTAGAATCCCCGTTTCATAACTTATTGCTGCTGGTCTGTTTGTGCAGATGTTGGACAGATGTTGTAAATGTAAAATAATCGGCCGAGCTCAGGCCACGTCTCGACCAAAACAGGTTTCTCTGTTATTTCTCCACATTATGCTAAAATCTATTGTGGTTTATTTGACACAAAACACACGACAAGCTTCTAAAATCATTATGCAGCTACACAATAAATCCAATAATCTGATATATAAAACATCGTATCACTCACGACTCTTTTTCTTATTCATGATACTCCAGGTGCATGTTGTTAATAATCACTTCAGGGCTGTTACCTGTAATGTTGTATTTTTATCTTGAAGTATTGGATTTAAATTCAAAAAGAGACCTAATTTAACTAGATTATATATCTAATTATTCTTATTTAGGATGTACCAGCATTTGTTATATGCAAAAAAATCATACATCAACCCACAATTATGATATAAACAAGTGACAAAAGGCAGTAAGTCATTGTGATGGAGATGTCCACATGTATTCATGCTCCTTGAAACTACCACAATTTTTCATCAAATGCAGCTTCTGTATGATTCCAGATGTTCCTGCTGGTTCCCACCATGTTCTATCACGTTCTGATCCACTATAAAGGTAGAACAGCTGATCAGTAGATCTCTAGTCAGGTCCAAAGAGCCCAGGTAGCTGCTGTTGGGGTCCATCCCTGAGAGAGAGCTGCATGTTGCTGCTGCTCACAAGATGTTTAAAGCCGATAAAGTCACATCAAGAGTTTTCCAGGTCCAGCGTTCACAGATGAAGCTTCATGAAGAAGTCCAAGAAGCTCCTCACTGAGGAACATGTCAAAGGGCTGCAGGAGGACAGACGTGAGCCCTGCACTGGAACAATGGTGGAGGCCCAGAAGAACCCAAGGACCAGCACCAAGAGCATCCTGATGGATGTGAGCAGTTCTGGTAGCAACATGTCCATCAGACACTCCAGCAGACCAACAACAAGGCTGGTCTCCATGGAGACAAGGAGGATCCACTTCTCCAGGACTGAGAAGAAAGCTGCTGCTCATCACTTCATGAACACAGAGAAAGGAGAAGCATCCAAGGCCAAGAGCAGCATCCCCACGGTCCAACATGGTGGTGGAACGTGATGCTTTGGGGCTGCTGTTGAGCCGACGGACCAGACAGCCTGGTCAGAGGAACCGGCTTCATGAGAACAGAGGAGAACATCAGGAGGTCTGCAGGAACACTGCTCCTTGAGCAGCACTGGAGCTTCAACAAGACGATGATGTGAAACATGCAGCCACAGTGGTGAAGAAACGCTGAAGAGGAAACAATGAGGAGATGTTGGAGCGGCCCAGCCAGAGTCCAGACCTGAATCCATCCAGAACCTGTGGAGGAACCCAAGAGCAGAGTGATGGAGAGGAAGCCTTCAAGCTCCAGGAGCTGCAGATGGACACCTGGAGGAACCAAATCCCAGAAACACTGTTGGACACTAGAACAGCTGATGTGGAGCAAAGTAAAGCCTCTGATGAGTGAAGAAGAGGACGAAGACGTTTGGATGGAAACATCATGAACATCTCAAACACAACGTCTGAGTTTAGTCTCTGGTTCATGTCGTTTACAGCCAGAAGGAACCTGCTGGTTAAATAAGAATCACTATAAATCTATATTTAGCATAATTTTGGCTGTTTTTTAGGACGAGTAACTGACTAGAGAACAACTACATCAGCTGTTCTACCTTTATAGTGGATAAGAACGTGATAGAACATGGTGGGAACCAGCAGGAACATCTGGAATCAGATAGAAGCTGCATTTTCTCATAAATCTGCAACAATTTCAACAGCTGTGGATCGTTCTCGACTCAATATTTTAGTAAAAATGTAAAATATAACCACATAAATAGTCCAAATTCATCATTGTCGTCTCTAACATGATGTTTTTCTGTGTTTTGTTTCTTGTTTACGTCATTTCCAGCCAGAAGAAACCTGCTGGTCAAATAAAAAATCACTATAGATCTATACTTTAGCATGTAGAGGAATAATGTGGAGCTTAAATGTACATCTGAAAGAAAGTGTGAATGTAATTCATAGCTTTGTCAGAGACACTGAAGGTCTATATCTCTGTTGTTACTGACACAATCAATCAGTGCAAAAGATCAATAATTAATGCAAGAAATCTCACACGAGACACGTTTTTTTTTTCCCACCAACTTTATTATACAAATTCTGTGTAAGTCACTGTCGTATCCAAGGGGATCAATGCATCGAACAATAACAAAAGGGTCGATTTGAAATTTGTAGGCATGAAAATAAATCCATGAATTTGTCATCGGTGGCCGTGAACCCTCCGCACTCTAAATGAATTCATAATGGTAAAAACGCGCACCATATTCATTCATTTCTGTCTGAGAACGAGCCTCTTCCTCTGCCGTGTTCATCTGAGATAACCGCTGTAGCCATCGAGGAGGTTTGTGACGATAAAAAGAGACGACAAAATGTTATGAGCTCGGCACTGTACAATTCATTAAATACTAACACATAGGTTGTTTTTTTGTTCTTTTTTCTCTTAGAATCCTCAAATTAATGTCACTCAAAATATTCTGATTGTACTAGCTATACAAAATACGATACTTGCACAAATTAGATTAACCATTTATAAAATCGTGATGATGATGGATATGGCTTGTGAGATTTTACAGACTTTGCTACAGACCTTTTTGTGGCTCTATTTAAAAAAATCTAATACTACTGTATGTCATCTGTCCTATTTCCCTGAAAAAGACACTCAAAGCATTCGGGTTTCCGTCAGTTTGTCTCCGACCTGCGTAATAAACATTCATCCCGGCATACATACGTTATGGCATCGCGGGTTCTTCGGGTGGAACCCACCGTCCCTCGCTGACCATTTCCTCACCTACACTCACATTTAGAAGGCTGCAGATTGTTTTTGTACCAGAGTGGAAACCGAAGTAATCACTTGAGATCGAGAAGTCGTAAGGCCGATGTCTAGGCACAGCACGTACAGCTGGAGAGTCGGCGACGACCGCTAAGTCCAGGCAGACTGTAAACGCCTCGCTATGAAATGGAGCTGGCATGCATCAAGATCTGGAATGTTCTAGAAACGTCGTGACCAGATGTGTGAAAAAAACCAACTAGTCGTGAGAATTATCTAAAAACAATAAACACTTAAATCCCACCAAGTAAAAGAACATCACATCATAAGATAATCGTTAATAATAACCATAACAGTTATAATAATTACTAATAATAACACTCCATCATATTCAGAACAACTACATTGAGCACTGCGTATAGGAAGATTGTCCGAATGGAATCTGTGTTCGTCTGCTTGAGCAGCTTCCGTCTGCGATCCGCGAAATCACCTCTGATAAAAAACTAAATAAATCCTTCAGCTGAATGTAAACCTCGAGGACGCAAAGCGCGTTTGCGTCTGGTGCAAATATCAGGGGGTAGAATTGTGCAAAGTTTAGTCTCCGTCTTTGTACTGTGCTTAAATTGCTCTTTTTTTGTACACATTAATACTTAATACATCATGACAATATCAACACAAAATCAATAGAAAGAGATAGCATTTATATGGACCACAGATACCACATACTACAGTATATAGGATAGGATAGCCCTTAGTATTGATAAGCGTTGTTATTGATGATTTTTTTTCCTCTTTTCTGGTTTTTTATGTTGTTTTTTTTGTTGTTTTTTTTTTTTTTTTACTGGCTGAAGTGCGTTATGATACAGCAGGTCTTTGTGTCGAGGACGGGAAGGGCTTCCTAACCATCCGAGTCTCTTACGGCCCTCGGCGCCGTGCAGGAGGAGGCCTCGGGTCGCCCTCGGGTCGCCCTCCGTCCCATCCTGTACAAAATCTCACTGACTCTGTCACCTGGCGAGAATAATATTAGGAATATAATAATAAAACGGTGATTGTCAGACCAGCTTACCCTGTGGTTGTTTTTTCTTTTTACTTGTATCTCCATAAATGGCTTTGAAGGACAGTTGTGTAAGTGCAACCTCTGCGTCACGTCTATTCATTTGTGCTCTGTAGAAAAACCTTTGCCCTCAACCTACTTTAAAGCCTCTTCATTGGTAAACTGAACACTTTTATCTCTCGATTCTGTCTGATTTTTTTTCTTTTTGATGGCTCTGTATTATTTGGTAGCCCATTGTTTGTACAGGTAGGTCCTGATCTACAGGTGGGAACTCACCCGTGATGCGATAAAACACACTGCTGTGGTGTAACAGCGATCAGAGCGAGCTCCTCTGGGGGTTTCATCTAAGGTCACATGGAAAACGAGGCAACCCAGGCATCGGATCGGTAACGTGGGTACGTCCGCAGGTTAAATCAGGCGCCGACAGTCAGAACCAGCCCACACTCTGTCTGCTCGGTTACACAAGAAGCAACAAGAGTCCAAGTTGTGTGTCTGGACGAGCGTCAGACCTCCGGAGTCCAGAATAAAGTTCAGGTCCAGTTTATAAATCAGCGAGCAGACAGTCAATTCGGGTCGGCGGCTCTGAAACTCTGTGGTGTTAATATTCCACACAGTTCACTATCTAATATGGCTCCTGAGTACTTTTTTTAGAAACATATATAAAAACTAAATATGAACGACACTCCTGCTTCCCTCCCAGTCAGTCTCTCTGCGAGTAATGGCACCGCTGTTTATGGCAATATGGCGAATTCGGTTACAAAATATGGCTGATGTACTGTAGGCTATCACATAGGTGGAACCGCGGTTCCCCTCTGAGAGCTTTAGTCGTATAATATTCAAGCTATTTAATTACAATTAACACTAATCTGAATAAAGACATGATACTGTTACTATTATACTTGATACTTCTAGTGTAGCTGTAGGTCTAGTGGTCGAACTCACACCGTCACCTCGTTTTTACTCCCCGTCCTGATGCCCTGGCTGCCTCCGCTGCTGCCTCCGGACCCCCCGCCGCCGCCTCCCGGTATGAAATGTAGCTGCTCGATGGTGTTCTGCCTTTTCGCTGCGAAAGCCATCCTCCTGGCGCTGTGGCCCCCCAGTGTTCCCGTTCCCATGACGACTCCCGCCCCGGGCATCTCCCCCGCCCAGCCCATCCCACCGCTCATGTGGCCCGTCATGGGGGCGTTGCTCCTCTCCTGCTCGCGCCCAGACGTCGGGTGAGAGTTCATCTTGATCATGTGGTGGCGGTCCAGGGAGGGCGTGGCGCAGACGTTCTGCTGGGACTGGGCCTTCTGCTGGCGAGGCAGCGTGGGCACGATGCCTCCCGTGTGGGCGTATGGATCCACCACGCCCATGCCGCCGACGCCCATCCGGTCCTCCAGGTGGTCCGGGGACATCAGCAGCCGATCCTCCCTCCGGTCCTCCCGTCGGTCGTCCCGTCGATCGTCCCGTCGATCATCCCTTCGATCATCCCGTCGATCATCCCGTCGATCATCCCGTCGATCATCCCTTCGATCATCCCTTCGATCATCCCGTCGATCATCCCTTCGATCATCCCGTCGGTCGTCTCGGCGATCATCTCGTCGATCGTCTCGGCGATCATCTCGTCGATCATCCCGCCGATCGTCCCGCCGATCGTCTCGTCGATCGTCCCGTCGATCATCCCTTCGATCATCCCGTCGATCATCCCTTCGATCATCCCTTCGATCATCCCGTCGATCGTCCCGTCGGTCATCCCGTCGGTCATCCCGCCGATCGTCCCGTCGGTCATCCCGTCGATCGTCCCGTCGGTCATCCCTCTTCCTGGTGAGCGTCTGCGTGTTGGAGTTCTTGTTGGAGGCTGCCATGGCTTTGTAGTACTGGTGCTGCTGGTTTTTGGACAGCCGCGACAGGGTGCCGGTGTTCCCGGGGACATCGCCCATGTTGAGCAGCTGGTCGGTGGACTTGACCTTCCTCGGCGGCTTGGACAGGGTGTCATAGTTGGGGTTGAACTGGGGCTCCGGGGGGTCCAGGGGGTACGGGTTGGGGGTGGGCGAGGCCGGCATGCCGGAGGGCGGAGGCGGGATCCAAGGACGGGCGGCGTGCCGGGGGAGGGTCCCTCTGCCGCTCAGGGTGTAGTCTCCACCCCAGTGCAGGTGGTGCTGGGAGGACTGGAGGGCTGGCTGGGCGGTGTGAGGCCGACGCTTGGTGGTGCAGTAACCGGACGAGTATTCATCCAGACCTTTCTCTGGAAACCAAACAGAATTAACCCGTTTATCACCACAGAAAACAGAATCAGGACACAGGGGGTCACGTCAATACATGCACGGAGGACCTTTAAAGCTGCAAACAACAAGTTGTTTTGACATTATAATGGTGGCAATTACACCAAGTTTGCATCGTGTTTAATTTGAGATAAGCTAAGCTAAGCTAAGCTAAGATACGCTAAGCTAAGCTAAAACTAATTTGGTGGTGTAATAACCAGATGAGTATTCATCCAGACGTTTCTCAGGAAACCAAGCAGAATTAACCCGTTTATCACCACAGACAACAGAATCAGGACACAGGGGGTCACTTCAGTACATGGCAAGGTAGATCTTTAAATTTGCAAACAATAAGCTGTGTTGACATTACAATGTTGGATATTACACCAAGTTAGCATCGTATTTAATTTGAGGCAACCTGAGCTACGCTAAGCTAAAACTTCATTGATGTTGTAGCAACCAGACAAGTATTCATCAAGGCCTTTCTCTGGAAACCAAACAGAATTGATCCATTTATCACCACAGAAAGCAGCATCAGGACACAGGGGGTCACTTCAGTACTTAGCAAGACAGACCTTTAAAGTTGTGTTGACATTATAATGCGGGTAATTACACTACATTAGCATTGTGTTTAATTTAAAGATAAGATACCACTTTAGTAATCCCGAAGGAAGTTCCTATGCCAGTTAACGGGTGACAACTGATCGATTAATTAACTCCAAGGCAATGGGTACATTTTGTACAATTGACCTTAATAAAGAGCAACTCCACTGATTAAGGCTGCAGCTCGTGATTATTCTCCTTAATCACGATTTCGGGGTTAATCGATAAATTGTTTGTCTCTAAAACGTCAGAAAATGTTTCCAAAAGCCAAAGACATTCAGTTTACTGTCACAGAGGAGGAAAGAAACCAGAAAATATTCACATTTAAAAAGCTGTAAATACAAAATTTAGACGGTTTTCATTTTAAAATTACTCAAACTGATTAATCGATTGTGAAAATGGTTGACGATTAATTTTTCAGTTGACAGCTGTTGCAGCTCTACAAGGAAAATAAGCAACTTTTGCATTTTAAAATGTGACGTTTTAATGAAAATATAAGATAAAAGTTAGAATGGATAACTGACGACAACATAACATAACATAAGACTTTATTCATCCCAAAGGAAGTTCTTGTGCCAGATGTGACTCAGAAAAAATAAAACGACGACTTGAACAGTAGAAAAGCAAGAATATGTGAGTACAACACGTTACTGAAATAAAATAAAATAAGATAAAACAAGGCTAGAATAGAACAGTCCAAGTCGGTCTGGTAATTAAGCATAGGGATAAGTCAAAAGTATAAGTAACTAATAAATCATTTTCTGCAGTATTTGATTTAAAACCCAAATTTAGGTTGTGTTAAATTAACTAAATTGGCCTGATAGATAATTCTGATTATGGATATTGACATAATTGATCGATAATAACCTGCGATTTTCAGATTTTCTACAAATAATGCTCATGTACATTTTTGTTTATTTTATTTATTTTTTTCGTACTGATATTCCTTAAATGTTTCCCTTTTGCTGCTGTAAAGTCCCCGTTGTGGGACTATCTAAGGCTCTTATTTTATCCTATTTTATCTTAATAATGGAATTTTTCTCCACCTTCAGGATGTCTAAACCCTAAAAACCTAAAAGAAAAATGTGTTTATGCTCGAATTTACATGAGTGTAAATGAAGAGCTAATTCCTCCAAGTCAGTTTATCTCGATGGCGGGACATAAATTGATTAAAAGTTGTCAAAAAGACTGATTAAAGCTGTTAAACAACAAAATATTCACATTTAAGAAGCTGCAATCACTGAAAAACTACTCAAACTGATTATTCGATGATCAGAACAGTTACGTCATTTAAGAGCTGACGACTGATCGGTTATTCGTTGCAGCCCTACGAGGACATCAGTGCATTTTAAACGCAGAAAGGTTGATTGAAGCTGTTATTTCTTGCTTGTTTTCAGAGCGTTTCTTCTAAACTCTGCTGCAGAGCGAGGCGACTCACCGAGGCGTTTGAGGGACGAGTACCGGTTGAGCTCGGGCTTGGTGGCGCTCTCGTAGGAGGGCGGCAGCTGGGCCAGGTTGTGCAGGGAGTGGTGGAAGGAGGGCTGGGACTTGGTGTTGTTGTGCTTGCTGGAGAGCAGCGTGCCTCCAGCTGCCAGCTGAGCGTTGTTCATCCGAGGTGTTCGTTCTGCAGGGACAAGACGGCGGCGGCGTGTTAAATGAGATCTGCTCCTCTGGATGCAACGCGTGGCGCACGGAAGAGATTTTTAACTTGCTTTTCAGCGCCGACACAAGCTCTGATCATCGTTATTATTGTCGGGATGAATGAGACTACTTCTGAGCTCAAAAACGAAGCTGAATGAAGTAAATGAAGCATCAAAGTGATTACATGTAATTTACATGGAAGCCGGCGTTCGGCAGCTGCTTACCGATGGTTGCCGTGTGTTTGGGGCTGGAGCCTGACGAGTGGATGAAATTGTGCTGCAAATTGCCCACTGCAAGTCAGAAAGAACAGGAATTAAAATAAATAAATAAATGAATCAGCTCACAAAATGGATGTCAGGCAGGTTTGAGCTGAACAACATCAAAAGATCGAGTCGGCTGCACGTCTACCTGCATCACAGAAACACGCGTCGTTTTCTGCATTAAACTGAACAAAGTGAATTAACGGCATCGTCTCCACCAGAAAATATTCAGATTTAAGAAGCTGCAATCACAGAATTTAGACTATTTTTTAATGGAAATTGACTCAAACTGAATCTCAAAATAGCAGATGATCAACTAATCGATTAATCGCTGGAGCTCTACGAGGACTTTAGTACATTTTGACAATATAAAATGTGACGTATTAATGAAAATGTAATTACGGCTCCAATCAACAGTAACGTGATGAAACTTGTTCGGTAAGTTCTCAGCATCAATTCTCTTATTTCTCTGCTGGTTGTTGATTTAAACGTGACTCAGTAATTAATTCTGACGTTGAATATTCTGTCAGTTAAAATAACGGATTTGCTGTTTGGGCTTTTACAAAATGGTGCAAAGTTCTCCTCAGATGTCCGGTTTTGTCCAAAAATATTCAGTTTACTGTCACAGAGGAGGAAAGAAACCAGAAAAAATTCACATTCAAGAAGCTGAATTCACAGAATTTAGACTGATTTTCTTTTTAAAAAGTGACTCAAACTGATTGATCGATTATGAAAAAGATTAAATCAATCAATTCACTGAGCGACTAATCAGCGATACTTGTGATCATCATATTACTAAATCATATAAAACCGTGTGTGAATGTCAGGAGTGTCTTTAAGCAGAGTGATGAATAAATATGAAAAATAACATCTTATTTATTATTTTTCATTCGTTAATTAACCAACCAACTCCTAAAACACGTCTACAATCTACACAGAAGCACTGATCTGCATATTATTGTACTTTAATTCTAAATTCAAGCATTAATTTTACATTTTTTTTAGTGAAAACAGTGACTATAGTGAAGTAACTAAGGCTAAAGTTTGTTTTTTTTAGCTCGCTGCCCCTGAGGATGCCTGTTTTATTCCATCTCCTGAGCGATAACGCTGCCTCCACGCAGAGACGTGACGAGCACAGCGAGCCTCTGCTGCTAACAAAAGCTCAGACTGTGCCTCCGACGGTTCACTGAAGCTGCTCACATCTGTTGTCCTTGCTGGGCAGTCCCGGGGCGTACAGGTTCTTGGGAGGCCTCCCCAGCGTGCCCTGACCGTCGGCCACGGCCAGAGCCACGCTGTTGTTCCTCTCGTCCTGCTGCACCGGGCTGGACTGGTGCCGCAGCATGTCCACCAGGGCTCTGAGGACGGAGCGAAGCCAGTGAAACAGGAGGAAAAACAGCCAGCAAACGCTACTCACCCAACACAACGTCACACCAGAGTCACACCGAAACACGTCTGCTGCAGGACTGATGAGGATTTTATGTTTGTTGTGAAAACTGAACACAAAGTCGGTTAATTAAGACGTTTAAATCAGCTGCAGATGTGTGAGAACGAAGCTTCTGAAGAATCAGAACCTTTAAAGGCTGCAGCTAAAGATTATTTCACTTCTGGACAAATCGAACAACTGTTTGGTTTCTGAAATGTCAGAAAATGGTGAAAATTGTCTTGTTTTGTCTAAAGAGCTTCAGTTTACTGTCACAGAGGAAGAGATAAACCAGGAAACATTCACACTGAAGATGCTGCAATCAGAGAATTTAGAGTTTTTTTATTTAAATAGTCCACAATTAATTTATTAATCAACAACTAGTAGATTAATTGTCGCAGCTCGACAAGGAATTTAGTTCATTTTAACATTTTAAAATGTGACGTATTAATGAGAACGTCATTATTTCTCCAGCTGACAACAACTAACACTGCAGGATCTTCATCTCAACACTTTAACTTGCTCGGTAAGTCCTCAACACCAGGTGCGTTCCTCCACTATGTTGTTTTAAAGGTGCTTCATACCTGAAGTATTGATTAGTTCTGGATTAACTGATCGGTTGTTCAGACTCTAAAATTTTTTCCTCAAATGTCTGGTTTTGTCCAAAAATATTCAGTTTGCTGTCAAAGAAACCAGAAAATATTCACATTGAAGACGCTGCAATCACAGAATTTTTCTTTTTAAATAAATTACTCAGACAGAAAATCGATTATTAGAACAGTTGGAGATGGATTCAGTGAACTGCAGCTGACGTGCTGGTCAGATTGCTTCAGACTAAATGGTGTGTGTGGATGTCAGCCTGGTGGTGAATGGACAGAAGCACGTGCACAGCCATGAATGAATGAATGCAGAAACTAACATGTCATTTAATATTTGTCATTCTCTGATCAACCGACCAACTGTTAATGTGCATCTACGAGCATCTTCTTCCACCAGACAGAAAACTGTGACCTGCACAGAAACCAAAGTCCTTATTGCCAAGACTGCAGGCCATATATGAGCCGAGGAAGCCAAGAGGAAACCAAAACAGCCATGATTCCTGCAGCAGCCACTCGATGGAGATGAAATATGTTTCAGCTGATGACTAATAACATTATTCTGATTCCAGAATGATGAATCTGGGCCATTTATGGAGCTCTGAAAACCTAATTTCGTTACAGTGCTCGTGCATGGGAGCCGGCGGACGGAGCGCGAGCCTCACCTGGGCATGTTCAGGTCCCGCTGCTGGGCCTCCTGCTGCACCTTGTTGAACACCACCTTGATGCCCACGGCCACGGCCACCATGAACACCACCACGCCGCCGATGACGAAGCCGGTGTTGTGGCTCTGCTGCTTCAGCGGGTCGAAGTCGGGGTCGTTGCCCAGCTCCTCGGGGATGATCATGGTCTCCGTCTGCGGCTTGGCCCAGTCCGGGGAGTCGTAGTTCTTGCAGCTGTCCTGGTCCAGCTGCCGGCTCCGCTCGGGGCAGCAGAACCGGTAGTGGCAGGTCCCGCAGCAGAAGACGAAGGTGTCTTTGGAGCAGTTGAAGGCGCTGTCGAAGTGTCCCATGACGTCGTAGTAGCCCCGGCACACGTCCATCCACAGGTCCATCATGCGAGGCCGGATCGGCGCCACCTGGGCCGCACCCAGCGGGGGGGCCAGGGCCTCGGACGAGGTGACGTTCTTGGGGAACATCACCTGGGGCAGCGGCCTGGGAGGCGTCTCCAGGACCCCCTCCGGAGGGTCCGTCTCGGGGGTTTTGGTCCGGCCTTGGAGGGCAGCCGGCCTGAGGTTGGCCTGGATGGCGAGGAGCAGCAGCGAGGGGCTGGCGTCGGCGGCGGGCTGCTGGGTGAAGGGCCTCCCGGAGCGGTCGGTGGGCTGAGGAGGGGGGGACGCGGAGGTCTCCACCACGGTGGTGAGCGGGGCAGTGAGGAGGGAGAGCAGGGAGACGGCGAGGACTCGGAGATTGGTGGTGGGCGTCATTTTTACATGACTAAGACATCTATTTTCTGTTGTTGAGTCAATGCAGTTACAACGCTGTATCCGCTTGTGCAGTTTAACCCACTAAAGCGGCCTGAGGAACATTCAAGGAGCATGTAGGGCCTGCTGGGGTCATTCAGGAGCTCTGGCTGACCAGATCTGGAGTCTTTGTCTGTGTCGGTGTGATAGTAATTAAAAAGGAACAAGGAGGATGTAAAGGAAGGAACACCAGCAGAACGTTGTTGTTTTGTTTTTTGTTTTTTCTGTAGCTTTCAGTAATTGGCCGGGATGCTGTTAAAACGGGTTCCTGCAGGAGAGGAGCTCTGCAGCAGCAAAATGGCTCCACAAGCTGAAAACAACAATCTTCATGCTATTTAGGCCTGAACGCCTGGTGTCCTGCTGCAGGGGACAAGACTAAGTCCAGTAGGACCGTGTCAGTAGGACCGTGTCAGTAGGATAGGGGGCTGCTGTACATTCCTGTGCTGCTTGTGGCACTTGGAGCAGAGACTACATGTAAACAGCTTCACTGTGTTGCTCACTTCTGGCACTGCGTACATTCACAATTGGCACTTATTTATCCTGCGAGCAAATCTGGGGGGGGAAAAAAGCATGCATTAAATCTGTGTAGTTTGCTCTCCCTCATATATTTGGTGCTGTGTGGTTCTGTAAACAATCAGACGTGATGAAGCGAGCGTCCATTAACGCGGGCCGGTCTGTAGAAACACGGTGTCCTGGGTCTGGTGATGCTTAAGTGCTCCAAGACTGTAACAGCTGAAAATTAGGAGTAAGCACAAACCACAGAAACGCGTCGCAGAGTGAGTCAAATGTCATGATTTTAAGTGTTCTGCATTCAGCTTTCAGGCCGTGTCACTCAGCTGTGCCGCTAATTAGACGTGAGCTGAATGGCGCATTGCTTCTCCGCGTGACACGTCTCCGCAAAGTAGAATTATTCCTGATTTGTCTCAAAGAATATCACTTTTGTTGAGAAATATGTAAATGTGTGAAGTTATTGTGCTGGAGGTGTTGGGCAATAATAGACAGAGGCAGATCTGTCTCCCACAGAAATTATAATTACATGTAATTATCAAAACGTCCCTATCTGTGGCGGAGCATGTAGGCACGGATGGGGGAGACTGAAATCACCGAGGGCTCCACTTGTTTCAGTTACATGCTCCTCTAACCTTCTGAGGAGGGTTCAGAGGAGGGAAAACGAGACGCACAAAGCAGCAGCTCTCCCTCTGACTAATGTTCCCAAAAGGCTTCTCCAGGGGGGGGATTTGTTCTTCTTCTCCTTCCAGAAGCTGAAATACAAAACAGGACACATGAGATTAGCTGACCCCTGCTCCATTTTGGGTCCCCCTCCTTTTATTTATTTCTTTCTTAATCATTAGTGTGTTTGCACAAAGGCTCCAGAAAAACCGAGAGAGAGAGAAAAAAAGGGCATAAATGCAGGGTTGAGGGATTTAAATGAGCAAAGAGATTGTGGCGAGCGGGAAGAGCCAGAGGTATAGATGCAGAGACGACCATGAGTGGGAGGGCGGTGTGTGGGTGGCACAGAATCAAGTACATTTCTCCCAGCACTTACCAATACAACATCACACAAACAGAGCTGCAAACAGAGAGACAGAGCGGCTCACCAAGACTGCAAATCAGCAACAATTAAAGGGCGACATTGTGCAAAGTGTACAGAGGCTTTTTGTGTCAGCGTGAGAGACTAGAGTTCCTGCAGAAGCTCCTTGTGGTCCTTCATCGCTCCCTCCTTCCTTCCTTCTCCTCTTTTCTCCCTCGTTCTCTCTTTCTCAGATTCTGTGCGTGGGTTGAGGCAGCTAACTCTCTCAGAATAGCACTGCAGCTCTGTCTGTGTGTGAGTGAAAAGAGGCAGTGAAAAGAGAAGAAAAAAAAAAAAAGGCAGCCACGGTCCAATCTGCAGCCCCAGCCAGCAGCAAAGATGCCACATCTGCGCGTCTCTCCTGCTCGACAACATCGCACCGACGCCTCATCTCATAAACGATGCTCTCGGTGCAAAACACACAAATGAGTTGAATGTGCAGCAGCAGACACACAAACACCCGCAGATCCGCTCAAACAATGGGCGCTCAGTGCTCCTGCTGCAGCCAGGAGGTGAATTTGCATGGAGCTGGAGATGTTCTGCTCCTTCTCACTGTGCTGCTGAAGCAATGCAAAGCAAAGGAACCAGAGGAACCAGAGGGGAGAAGAGCAGCTGCTTCTACAGACTCCTTCATTTGCACCACTGATTGCGTAAAAAAAAAAAAAAAAAAAAAGAGCCTGATTTCGCTCCAAACTGCAGCCTGCTCGGGAACATTTCAACAGGTGTCAGCTGGAAATGAAACAAAATGGCCTCTTTTTCTGTATGTTGGTGGTGGAGACAGAAAGAAAGAAAGAAAAAAGAACCCAGAATACAAGTCATCAGACAGAAACAGGCGCTACTTTATCAGCTGCGCAACCAACATTTTGCACATCAGGTCCATAAGTTCCAACCAACAAGCGCGCGTCTTATGGACATGACTTGCATGTATCAGGCAGAGTGCGTGGGTGTATCCGTGCCGGTGTGTGTGTGTGTGTGTGTGTAGTCCGGCTGGATGTGTCGGTGTGTTAATATGTTCCTAATGTCCTAACGCGGATCAAAGTGCTGGAGAACATGTCTGCGCACAAAGACGCTGCCGCCGCTCAGATGTTTCTGTGGCGCAGCTTCATCCAAACGCGTCTCGGTCACACAACCGCCGAAACACCAACACAAACTCGGTTTTCGTGCACAATCGGACACACGGCGACACAATCGGGCGGTTTTGCATTAATTGCAGCTGCATTAGCGGAAGGTGCAGAATGTCGTGCCTTACCTGTGCGTTGCTGTGGCGCTGGATGTGGAGAGCCTGCGCACTGGCGCTCCGACGGCAGCAGCAGCAGCAGCAGCAGCCTGTTGTTGTAGCAGCAGAGGACGAGGACAGTTTGAACTGTTGCTGGATCTGACACCTGTTTTTTGTTTTAGGTTTTTAGGTTTTCACGGGTTCTGCTGCGGTTCTGTCTCCATCACACAGTTGGTAATCCATCAGCATCACGGGCACAAAAAAAAACACACAAAAAAACCGTCGCTGAACACCGAGATGTTCTGAGATGCTCCGGTTCAGGAGGTGCATCTGATTTCCAAGTTACAGAGTCTTTTTTCCCCGCAGATGAGTCCAGAAATCAAACTTTGCGGCGGCAGAGCGGACCGAGGCGGGCGCTCTGCTTCATTTCCCAGCGATACAGGTTCCGCCGCTCACTGCGCCTGGCCTCACGGAGGTCCGCCGGTGGGGGAGCGCTGTGATTGGTCGCTCAGACTGGTGCTGCTGCTCATTAGGCCCATTCAACTGGTGCCGTTCATCTGAGCTCCGTTAACGGAGTGACCCTGCAGCGCCTCTGGAAACACATCTGGCACGGATTTCTGTCAGAAAGTTAAAATAAAATAAAATAAAAATAAATAAAAAACGGAAGCAGCGCCGCAGAAACCGGAGGAAAGTTGGAAAATTCGAGCAGCAGCAGCCGGTGAATTCAGCGGAAGACCTCCGAGATCCAACCAGTGTGTGTGTGTGTGTGTGTGTGCGCGCGAGAGAGAGAGAGAGAAAGACACACACACACATACAGAGAGACACGGTTGCCACAGCAACTGTGTCATTATGTTGGTGGCAATTATGAAAGCGATGAAAACGGGGAAGGGGAGAGGATTGGCGCAAAAGCTTTAACACTGGAGCGTGAACGAAACTGTCAATTAGACTCAGACCTACACTGACAATCCGGAGATGTTAGGAGGAGGAGAAGGAGGAGGTGAAGCAGGAGGAGGTGAAGCAGGAGGAGGTGAAGCAGGAGGAGGTGAAGCAGGAGGAAGAAGATGAGCAGGAAGTGGAGGAGCAGAGGGAGGACGAGCAGGAGGATGTGATGGACAGAGGGAGCAGGAGGAGGAGGAACAAGGTGAGGAGGTGCAGGGGGAGGAGGAGGAGGAGGAGCTGGGGTCAGCTGCAGCCCCGAGGAGCAGGAGGAACAAAATGAGCAGCAAGCAGAGGAGGAGGAGGAAGAAGAGAAGGAGGACACGTTGAAGCAGGAGGAGCAGGAGGTGTTACTGGAGGAGAATCAGCAGCAGGAGGTGCAGGGGTCAGCCGGAGACCAGAGGAGAAGGAGGTGCAGGAGGAACAAGATAACTAGGTGGAGCAGGAATAAGAGGAGGAAGCACGGAGAGGACGAGCAGGATGTGATGGCACAGAAGGAGGAAGAGGAGGAGGAACATTGTGAAGAGTTGCAGGGGGAGGAGGAGGAGGAGGAGGAGGAGCAGGGGTCAGCTGCAGATCTGAGGAGCAGGAGGAACAAGATGAGCAGGAGGTGGAAGAGAAGGAGGACGTGTTGAAGCAGAGGGAGCAGGAGGAGGTACAGGGGGAACGGGAGGAGGAGAATCAGCAGCAGGAGGTGCAGGAGGAGCAGGATAACTAGGTGGAGCAGGAAGTGGAGGAACACGAGGAAGATGAGCACGGAGAGGACGAGCAGGAGGATGTGATGGCACAGAAGGAGTAAGACGAGGAGGAGGAACAGGGTGAGGAGGTGCAGGGGGAGGAGGAGAAGGAGGACCAGGAAGTGTAACAGGAGGAGGATCAGCAGCAGGAGGTGCAGGAGGAGCAGTGGTCAGCTGCAGACCTGAGGATGAGGAGGAGTGGGAGGAACAAGATGAGCAGGTGGAGCAGGAAGTGGAGGAGGAGGAAGAGCAGGAGGATGTGATGGAGCAGAGGGAGCAGGAGGAACATGATGAGAAGGTGCAGAGGGTGGAGGAGGAGCAGGCGATACAGCAGGAGCAGCAAGGGGAGGAGGAGGAGGAGGAGGAGGACCAGCAGCACAGCAGCAGGAGATGCAGGAGGAGCAGGGGTCAGCTGCAGACCTGAGGAAGAGGAACAGGAGAAGCAGGAGGTGGAGCAGCAGGGGAGCAGCAGTAAGGAGCTGGAGGAACAGAAGGAGGAGCAGAGGGCAGCTGCAGACCTCAACATGAGGTGCAGGAGAAAGACTGGGAGGAGCTGGAGGAGGAACAGGAGCAGTAATAACAAGCAGATCTGAGGATGAGGAGGAGCTCAGATCAGATGTTTTGTTCTCCTCAGATCTGGATCACATGAATGGAAGCAGCAGCAGATTGTAACAGGATGAATCATGAAGCAGCGTTTTACTCTGAGTGTGACGGAACGCTGCAGCAGCTGCAGCATGCATCGCTGCTGCGCCGCATTGACAGCATGGGGTTTGCTCTGCAGGTGGACTCCAGGTGCTGAAGGAGGTGCAGCTCCTCCAGGAGGAAGGTGAGGAGAGGAGGCCTGATAATTACCTGCATGTCAGGCTGCTGTTTCCACCAGGTGGGCTGCTGCTGCTGCTGCTGCTGCTGCTGCAGCTTCACCCGGAGCTGCTGAGTTTCTCATAAAGTCACTCCATCGCTGCCGACTGTGAACAAAACGAGGCTGGAAGACGTCACCGAGGAGAAGCTGCACATCGTCACCCCTGAGTAACATGTAACTGTATCCCCCTACAGTAATCAGATTACCTCTCATTTGGTTCGCAGAGTACATTTAATGTAAAATCTCAAAGTGTTCGTGACTTTAGTCTTAAAATACAACATTCACAGCACAGAGGAGCAAAAATCACCTGACTGATAATTCTAAGTAATCAGATTACTCTGATGTCCAGTTACAAACTACCAGTTTAGATTCTCTATAGTGAAAATTCAGGTCCCACTAATTTAGATTTTTTTCAATACTTTGGTGAATAATTGCTTCAGTACTGCGTTTATTAAAGGTGTGATCTATAAGTGCGACAGGTACCAGGTGAACTGGACCGTACCGGGTCAGATGTGAGGGATTTGTGAAAATCTTGCATTATTTTGGACAAATTATGAGAATTTTAGATAATTCAAGCAATAAAATAACGTGAAACAAACAAATTTTAGTTAATTTTGGACACATTGAATTAATTTTGCCTAATTTAAGGAATTAACTCATTTTGGACGATTTTTGACTAATTTGAACAAATTCTGACCAACTGATGACAAACTGAGTCACTTTGGACAATTTTTTTTTAACTCATCAGGGAAAGTCTTAACTTATTTTGGCCCAATACTGTAAAACAAAGCAAGAAATTATGAAAGACAAGATGAAATAAATGGATTCTAGATAAACTGTCATTTTGGACAAACTGCATAAATTTTGACAAAAATC